CTGCATCCAGCTGATGGAGTGTCCTGGTGGCGACACCGCCTGCGGCGTGAGAAACTGCGCTGGTCGCACTCCAGCGGAGCTGGCCGAGCAAGAGGGCCACCACAAGTTGGCCCAGAACATTGTGAGCTTCGCCGAGTTCCACGAACTAACCACCATGTACCACTACTTCAAGGGCGTGAATCCGGGCCAAGGAGAGATCAGCCCCAAGGCCAGTAGTTCCAGTCCCAATGTGGTCATCGAGGCCCAGCCGGGTAAGGGTAAAACGCAAAAGCCACCAAAGCAACTGCCCACGGCGGAGTACATGGAGATGTCCAGCGGCTCAGAGCGGGAGAACACACCGGAAGTGAGGCCTAAAACAGAGACCATGGCCATCTCGAATCTCAACTACATCAGCGTGGAGACAGAGGACGAGAATCTGCAAGCTTCCGTGACCGAAAAGAAGGTGGAGTCGGAAAAGAAACTCCCGGAGGCTGGCTCCCAGCCGGGACCCGAACAGACTACCAATGAACTGAGGATCAATGAGCCACCCTACTACCAGTCCAAGGAGCAGAATCAGCTGAGCAAGGAGCAGGTCAGATCTCTAGACGAGGTGGATGCGGCTCCCCTGTATCAGACGGACAAATTCAGTCAGGAGTGCTCACAGCTCCTGGAGAACCAACTGGGCAACGACTATGTGCTGCAGCCCTCGAATGTTCCGGTGGTTCAGGACGATGGCAACTATCTGTTCCAGCCCTCGAACCGACCTGTGGAGGAGCCCCTGCGGCTGAGCCGTTGCACCACTAAACAACCCGGCTATGGCACCCTGAAGAGGAGCGCCAGTGATGCCTCCGCCGCCAGTAACAGTCGCTCGAACGCCGACGACGAGCTGGCTGAGATTATGCACGACTTCAAGAACAATGTCCTGTCCATCAGGGATGTGGAGCTGCTGGTGGAGCGCTGGAAGCACCGCAACGACGTCCAGCAGAGCTTCCGAGAGAAGCAGGACCAGATTGATCAGCTGCGCAGGGAGTACGAACGGATCCAGGAGCAAGTCAAAACGCATCTAAAGCGAGAGACGCCCTTCGAGAGATTCAAGAAGTTCTTCTCGCGCGGCAAGCCTCAGCAGCAGGGCAACGACAGCCTGCTGGACGAGACCAAGTCCTCGATAGCCACCAGCTGTAGCTTCAAGTCCGGCGGAGGAGTATCCACGGGTGTGGGAGCGGGCAGGCCGATTAGCTCACTGAGCCTGCAGAGCGTTTCCAGTTCAAGTTCGTCCTCGGGAAGGTTAAGCACCGGCAGCAACTGCAGCGGCGCCTCTCTCGGAGATTCCGGCACTCATTCGGATCACGAGGAGCGACGAGGATTCCCACCGCACTGCCGCATGATGGACAACTACCTAGTGCCACCGCCACCCAGACCCGTCTTCACGCCAAGCTCTACGCCCGGGGATGAGCGTCATCAGATCGTGTTCCCCTCTCCCATGTCCAGTTGTCAGCGCTTGAACACGCCCACCAGTCCCACGGGATCAGAGCACTACCAGATGTTCCCCTCGAACATCCCAGTTTACGGGAGCCAACCCCTGGCCAGTTCCCAGAGTAGCAACTACCTGAACACCATCATGGAGGCCAAGGAGCAGGCGGAGACGCAACAACAACAACACTACCAGAACCAAAACGGAGTCACCCTGCAGCCCATCAAGCTAAACGAGCGCTCCAACATCATCTACGGCAAGCTGACCAAGAGCCACTCCACCAGCGGCTGCAGCTCCTTCAAGCCCAAGCAGATCCCAGTGCCATGTCCTCAGGTTGGAAGCATAGAGGTCCAGGCGGAGGTTTACCAGAATGTGGGCGATATTCCACCGGAGAAGGACACCTCCAAAGCTGAGGCAGACACAGAGACGACGCCCAACTACATGAACTGCTGAACGGCATAGAAATCGAAATCGAAAGGAGATTCACATATAGTTTTTAAGTCCTTTTTTGAGTTAGATTTCGTATAAATCAGTTGGGAATTGTTAATTCCCACCCACTTTTGATCGAAATTGACAACGAAAGCCCCTGAACATTGTCCCTTTGGAAGGATGAAATGAGTATGAACTAGTTATCGCTATTCTAATATTTAGTTTTAAGCCTTTCGAAGGTGAACTTGAGGGTTGGTTTTGGAGATTTAAAAAAGTAAATTATAATAATTAAAGTTTTTAAATCTCTGTGAAGCCTACTTTAAGTTTAAAATCGAAGTTATTTGTATTATCTGTAGATGTAGTCTGCGGTTTCAGCATCTAATTGTACATTTTATGAAACGATTGCAAGCAACCAAATCAAACATATCGCTAGCTGATAAGCCTAGGTCCTAAGTCGATACCAACGAATATCAAAACGCGATTCATTTAAGGATATCATCTAGGATACATGACCATTTATCGCTAAGAGCCCCACACACCTTTTGGCATGCAGTTAAGCATGTAAAACTCGTTCATTCATTCTTCACTCAACCCCCCGAAACCCTCAGAAAAAGTTAAACGCAATAAATTTTTTACATATAAGCAGAGTGGAAACTTGTTTTCATTTGGCACGTGCAAAGGCGTCGGAAAATGTGCGGGAAATTGTGGGAGGTCGTTGGGTAGCGTTCGTGGCAAACAGGAAATCGTGCGGAATCCCCGGCAACACGCAAAATGGGATTGCAACTGCCAACGTAAATTTCCCTTTTATTTCTCTCTGGGAAACAAATGCAAGTTTGCATTCATGAAGAGCCGCTGACTGGAGCGAATTTTCCGGGCTGCGCTGCTCGTCGTTTTAAATGATAGCAAAGGGAAATGGCAAAAGTGAAAATATGGAAAAAAGTGTCCTGTTTGTAGCATACTTTTGTGCTGGCACTGAAATGGCCCCCCGAAGGATTAATAGCTCAAAGAGAAATATTTTATGCTTAAATTAAAAACCTTTATGAAAGCAGAAAAAATGGTAACGAGCTTTGAAAAGGTATTCCTTTATAGAGCTCTTAATGTTTAATTGAAGAGAAACCATTTTCCATGGGAAAATTATTTAGTAAAAACGTATTTAACAGATACTTTAACAGATACTTTAAATACGTTTTTACAAAATAATTTTCGCATTGAAAAGCTATTATAAGAAATGTCTGTACATTTACGAAATATTTTCCAAAGGGCTGGAAACTTGAGATGGCAGAAAATTTAAATATTGGTGTGAAAGTTAATAAATAAATCGTTATTTTAAAGTTACATACATATAAATGGAACAAAAAAAAAAACAAAAAAATTTAATTACCTTATATATTCTTCTATAATATCGATGCGTTAGCCTCTTCTGATTAATATTCTTTTAAAAAACCAAGAAATAATTTTTTTTGTTGACAAAAAATCTCAGTTAACCAATTGTTTACAGCGCGAATCCGGCCTGAACCCGGCTGAACTTATATCCTTGGAACCACCCACCCAAGCCCTTGAGTGGCTTGTCGCCATATTTAATATTCGGATTAAAAGAGCATATCGCTGTTGACTTCCCCACCAATACGAGGGCAATTCTGTTTGTGAGCCATAAAAATGCTGAAATGCAAAATGTGAAATGTGAAATGGAGAAGCCTCACAACGCATCCAGTCTGCCCTGCCACCAACATCCGGCGCTTGAGGGCGAACATGCAGGATGCATCAGATTCACACCCGCATATAGTAGAGACACAGCAAGGATTCGCACTAAGCCGGCATCTCTTAATTCACACTCAATGGGCCGCAAAAATATATCTCGCTCCGCTCTGCTCGTCTCCCAATGGCCGATGCGTAGTATTTTTCCCAGCTGACTCGCAGCTTTCGTCCTTTGCATCCTTTCGGCAGCCATTAGCCATCTGCTGCGTTACATGGACACCCATACAGGCGAGTGACAGCCAACATGGCCACAAGCAGTCGGCCATCAGTCTCTGGCCTGCACCATTTCCGACTTCCAGCGGTTTCTCTTTTTAGTTTATACCCTTTCGGTTTGCCTTTAAAAATTACAGCACAGAAAAGCTATTCGAAATTTGTGGTCGATTTTAAATTCAGACTTCTAACTCAAACTGTAAGGGTATACAAATTTCGGCTTTCTCTCTGGTTTATTCCTTTTACCTCTTATTTTGCTTCTCTCTGCTACTATGTGCTCCTCTTTTGCTACTCTCTGTTGTGTTGTTTGTTTTGCTTCCCTAGCACTGTAAATGCTGTAACCAAATGAGAGAGCAAAATAGAGGCCTTGTAAGAGAGCAAAGCTTTGAGAGAGTCAAGCTTTTACGCAGGTGCAAGGATTAAGGTTTGGGAAGTTAAACAAATATATTTTAACATACAATTTAAAATAATATTTTTTACTAATAAAAACATAGATTACAGAAATGTAAATGTATTTAAATTATTGTTTTTCTAGTTACATTTTAAATATATTTAATTTCAAAAATATTATTTATATTCAAATACCTATATTTGAATTAATGTTTTCAATGCTTTCTTTCTCTATTTAAGAAGATTTCTCTGTCTAGATCGAGTGTTAATAAATAAAAGACAAAACATTCTAAATATTTTTGGACACTTTGAGACTCTTTTTGAAAACACAAGCCAAACATTTGTTCTTAAACTTCTGAATTTGTTGTTATAAATTGTTTATAATCAATTTATTTATATTTTTTTCCACTAAAATAATTATAAATTAATACTCCGTATAGTAAAAAACGGAGTATTGCCAAACCATCCAGGGAGAGCCACAAACTAACAAAGAGAGCAAGCTGTCTGAAGAGAGGCGAAAGCTCTATGTTCGACAAGGTAAAAGCGAACAAGTGTGTATAAAAGGACATTTCGTTCAGTCGTCGACTCTGTTAATTAAGCGAAACTGCGACGCAAAAAGGCGGAACGAATTCATTTCACAGAAGGGAAAATAAAAACGTTTCCACTTTACGCATTGCAAAATCAAAGTATTCAAAGTTGTTCAAGTTAAATATTTGCAAATAAATACAAACATAAAGTGTGTGCAGTCCAAACGATAACCGTGCAACCGAAATCGAAGGACCTGTGAGACGGTGTTGTTGTGTGCAGGCAGCTACGCAAAAAGGACACTCTTGCAGGCACTTTTCCAGCTTCCACTGCGTAGAAGAAGCCCGGGGAGAACACACACGCGCGCCCACATTTAATTAGTCTCCCCTCACCCACTGAATCTTTGATTCGGCGAAAGTCCGGGGACCAGACGCTAATTAATCCTGGGACTTGTTGGGCACCGCAGCTCAGAAGCGGAAACGGAAACGGCAGAAGCAAAAATCCAGCAGCAGCAGCAGCCGGAGATGCACAGACGCCGCTCGTAAATAATTGAAGGTAGGCCAGGTCCTTCTGCCTGTCAGCAGGCTCATGAAATTTATGGCAGATTTTTCACCTGCTCTGCCACGCATTAACCTTCGTCCTTGGCGCGACTTGTGTGTGTGCTCCTCTGGCCGAGATTTTTTCAAATTTTAATTATTTATTTGCACCACTCGAAAGCGGCAACGGTTGCCACACTCTGGGCGAGTGCCGCCGAGTACTTGAAACTTTCAGCCGGGCGGCACATTTTTAATGATGTTCTAAACGATCAACTCGAGGCCCCTTCACATTCCTCGGCCACGCAGGCTTAACCCCCTCAATTCCCAAACGAAATATGTGAAATGCTTACAAAACACATTATTTTTATTAAAATTAAAATGCATTTATAAAGTGCAGAGCCAAGAATATATTCAAAATAAGTCAAATTTAAAAACCGAAGGGATGGTTTAAAAATGGTATAAAAAAAAGGTAGTTTAGTTTTCCCCTAATTTTAATAATAAATAGTGTTTTAACAATTTCCCTAATGTTTTGTAAGGAACAAAATCTTGTAGATGTACCATTTCTACTTTAAAGCCTTTCAGTTTTAGTTCAGTTCTATATATGAAATTTAATGTTATATATGTGCATATGTATTGCATGAATAGTACTTTTTGTGTTGCACTGGTTTCTGTTTCAGCTCTTCTTGGCTTGTCACCAGCGTCTTTGGGTCGAGTTGGCGGGCACTCATAAATATTTCAAGTTGTCAAAGCTGGCCTACACTCGTACGAGTGTGTGTACTGGGTACTCAGTAATGGGAAATGGTAGGGGTATATGTGGCATATGGGATCCAAATGGAATAATATTTATTACGTGGGATAATTATTCAATGAACATGGTAAAAATTCAAGCTAGAGATGAACATTTAGAGACTGTAATGAAAATACAAAAAAAAGGTTTTATATACCTTTTCCTGAAAAAAATCCACAACAGAAGCTAAATCAGCTAAGAAATAGATTAATTTTTTTTTTATTTTTACCTCATTTATACAATATAACTGGTAAATTTATTAATTAAAAAGTTTCTTTCAAAAGGTAATATTTCTGACACTAAGGTAACCATACCAAAAAAGTATGCTAGTTGTTCATCAAATAAAAGCAGGGTACTATTTTGTGACACCTTAGCGTGGTTTTTTTATACACACAATATATATGTATATACTTTTTTGCCGCAACTTGTTAGCGTGTGTGCTGTTCACAAACACTATTCCATCCAGGCAGAAACTCAGGTGTTTCCGCTTTGCTTTCTGTGTCAGCCGGCGGCTTCCGCTCCTGGGTATAAAAACGTCTCTCTGCCCCTTTCTTAGCCTCAACCCCAGCCCGGGTTTTTGTTGGCCCCTTGTTGCTATAATTTTAATTAGCACTGCGAGTCTCGAGTCAGTCAGCAAAAGCTGAGAAAAAGCATCCAGTCACCGCAAAATCCCCGATGAAGCACCCCAAATATGTACATATAACTATATATATACTATATATTCCTGTTTAGGTATTATATGTGGATGAGAACGACAAACAAAGCCAAAGGCAATACAATGCGAACAATTACCAGGCAGAGCCGCATTGTCTGGGGGGCCAAATCCACAGTCAAGGCGGTGCTTTGTGGTATTAAAAGCAATATTGCGCATACGCCTCGTAGTGCATCCTTTCAAAGGAATGCCAAATAAATGTGTGTGTGTGTGAGCGCCTGAGTATGAGGTATGCATATGAAACACACATAGAGCATAATTGCTTATTTGCCGCTTGGTTGGCCATCTAAACCGCAAGCTTATAGATATCCTAACCCCATCCGCCGAATATCGATTGTAATTCATACAAAGCCATTGACCACAACGAACCCGTCCTTGGATCCCTGGAAAGGGGTGCTTTTTTTATGGATAAAATGGGTGGTAAGGAGGTGCCAGCAAATTAAACTTTCCACAGTAAAGTTTTTTTCCGTCTGCCGAAAAGTTTTTCTTTTGAATATTCTAATACCAAAGAGAGCTATAAAATATGAGCCTGGCATCGGCTGCTTTTAAAGGCTTGCCACGAGTGAGGTCGTTATTTTACCCGAAAAAAAAATTTAAATCCAACTTTGGCTAAAACATTTTTCAATGGCTTATAAAGTCTTAAAGTTTTCCCTGAAATTGAAAGCCTTTTCAAAGTTTATGGAATATTTTTGATGTTATTAGTTGTCAATTCAATTGATTGGAATTTCATGAGAATAATAATTCGGGTAATAGTCAAGGCTTATTGAAAGTATAAAGCGGATAAAGAGGAATTGATTTTTTATGGCAATTTCCAGGAATTTTTCTGTGGCTTTTCCGTTTCACTTTTAAATTGAATTTTTCACTGTGAATTCCGGCAGTCAAAGAAATCGAATCCTGGGCCCCCAAGGGAATTGTATTATAGGCACTTTTTGCGAACACTTTTACCATAATATTTGTGCAGCGAGTGGGAGCAGTTAAATGGCCAACAATTGGCAGCCTCTCAAAGTGCAGCAGCAGCAGCAGCAGCAGCAGCATCAACCGTAATTGCAGCGGCAAAGAAAAACGATAACAACATTTCTGGGGCGATCATTATAATCGGGCAATTTGGCCCACGACGATGGCTATGTCTACGTCTACGTCCTTTCCAAGGACTGGACTCTCTTCGTAGCCGAAGGCAGCGCACCAGCATATATATACTACGAATTGTTATTACAGTTCGCAAAGTCGTTTGGCTGCAGGCTACTATATACTATCATACATACTCATATACTCTATCATAAATTCGGCTTTTATTGACAATATTTTTGCCCTGTGACACCACGGAGCGAAAAAGTATACTTTAAATTGGATAGATATTAAAGAGGCTCTAATAAAAAATGATTAGAGAATAAATAATAGTATTGTAAAAATATTAAATTACTATAATTGAAGGTTTTGAAAAGGATTAATCGTATTTAAAGCATATTTAATAACTAAAATTGAAAGTTTTTAAATAACTTTATATATTTTTTTTAAATAATAACTATAATTTGTGCTCCAAACTTCAATAAATAAATATCTAATAGTTTAATTTATTTTAAAATTAATTTAAATAATTAAAAAGAGACTCCCCAATCACACCACCTACATATTTTTCCCTCTGCAGGAGTGGGCCTGGCCAGATGGGCTCGTCCGGTCACTGTTTGTGGACTAAAAAATGTATTAAATGCGAAACTCATTAACGGCTCGTGTTGTGACTGGCCGATGGCAAGGACCTTCGGATCGGTAGCTTCTGCTCCTGCTGCTCCTTCTCCGCCTATTTTGTATATAGTAATAGTAGTTGTTGGCAGGCGACAGGACCACGGACTACATATTGCATGTTGTTTTGGCTCAAATAAGCCCCAACTGGCCGGCAATTTGGCAAACATTCGAATGGGCCTAGGTCGTGGATTGGTATCCGCCAGTCGCAGTCGCATTTAAGTGTTTTGTTATAAATTATTCGTCGCATTTTGCAAAACTGGACAACTGAAATTGCAGTTGCGGCGCAGCCAATGGCTTTTTATGCAACTTTACTGCCCTGTGACCCCATGACGCATATGTACTCGTACACACATGTACTTGTACATAACTTTCCGGTTCGCTGGCTCCAAATTAGGTTCACCCTAAAAGAGGAGTTGGTTATACAGGTATGGAAAGGTGAACCGAGCTGAGCTGAGCTGCAAGGGGAAATTCAATTTGTCAGAAGACACTTTAATTATGCAAACCGAAAATGATTTCCTAGAGCAAGTGTTTGTGGTCTCACCGTAGGAAAAGTTTTTCTATTACTGTTCCTGGAACAAAGGGGAAAATGTGCAGCTGTTTTTAGAAAAATAACCCCTGTAAAAAAGGGAGTGTGGAAGGAGTTTTATTTCTAGAATAATTACTCTCTTTGCTTTCACAAACAACCTTTTATACTTACTTAAAGCCTAAAATAGTTTACCTAAAACACAAATAAACTCTTAAAACAAAAACCCAGCTATTAGTTTAAACCAAAACCGCCCGCAAATGTTTTTAATACAATTTTAAGCATCATTGTTCTCGCTTCTGTTTCTCGAGTTTGAAAGCCTTTCGTATGGCAAAACGAGAAACTTTACTTAAGTTTTGTTTGTAACTGCTTTACCAACTTGGGGGAAAAAAACTTTTGTATCGGGTGGGAAGAAAACGTATTTAATCTTATTTTAAAATTAGTTTTCCCACTCGTGTTAATTGAGCTTCGCTGAACAAGTTAGTTCCAAAGCCCATAAAGGCAACTAAAGCTGTCGTGAGAACGCTGGCACATGGTGAGTGGCAGTACTTTGGAAAGCTTTCTCTGGAAAATGTGCGAACCTTGCAAGTGTCGTCCGTCGTCTGGCCAAAATTAGCAACAAATACAGTTATTCGATTGGGTATAAACAGCTCGAGCTGCAGGTCCTGCAATAGAGTTGCGTGACAGGATGGGCCAGACATGTCTGACATTTGGAAATGCCAGAAACAAAACGAAACGAAAGGATGGCAGGGATCAACCGACGAGTAAACAAATCGCAGACAATTGACTGACTGACGTGTTGTTTGCAGTGACAAAGGATTCACAAAAAGAGAGAAAAGAGAGGAGGGACTGAGTGACAGAGACGGGCAGCCGGCAATTAGAATTCAATGGAGTCAGTATAAAATACAATTAAGGGCCATTTTTGCACAAGTAAACAAGGGAAGCACTGCAGAAAACTATAAGGATATGAGAGGAAACAGGACTCATAACTGTACTCATGTGGCAATTACACTTCTGTTATGGAAAATATATTCATTATAATTTGAAATACATTTTTAAACTAATGTATTTCATAAAAATTATAAATTCCAAGCTCTCAAAACATATTTCCCATAATCAGAACCAATAAGATTTAAACCACCTGTCATAAATTCTCTTATCTTTCTTTCAGTCATAATAATTATTATAAATAATATTATTATTTACACCAAAAGTGCACCCAATTATCGCTTGTCATGCCCATATTTTCCCGTGTATCTTTGTGCCATGTCAGTTATGGCTTGAGCCCGCGGCGAGATGTGCAATTATTGATATTGATTTTGCAAGCCAGAAACCGGGGTCTGGGAGCCCATTAAGTAAATCATTCGCCTGTCGAGGCAGTAAGGCAAATTTATTGTTTTTAATGACGTCCCCCCGAGTCCTTGACTCCGAAGTGATTTCGGTTATTGAAAGGAGCAGACAGATGGCACACACTGTTACACGTACACTTAGCTGTCTGCAAATGCTGCACAAATAACCCGGCACCAAGCCGAAATATTCATTGCATACCCCAAGGCGTGGTGCATGTCGCTCGCCAATTAAACGGAGGAACGCCAACAATTCTGCTCATTTGCAACCGGCAAATTCGTATGTTAGCATGTCGTGTTGGCCCATTCAACTAGTTGGCTAAAGAAAAGCCGTACTCATCCCTCAACCCATACCATTTCCACAATTCATGCCGCATTATTGAATTTTGTGAAGCACTTGGAAAATTTCAGCTTTGAAATCAAACTAAATAAATCTTTAAAGAGTGTGTAAACTACTTTGGCGCCATTTGACAAATTGAATGAGTGTTTTATGTTCTAAAATATTTATTAGTTTTTATTCTAGTAAATGTTGTCTGCATATTTGAAACTGTTTTTTGCCTGACAGCCTAAAATATCGATACTGTTTCGAAATTTAAAAAAACGATGTTTTAACCTCGATATTCATAGAACTTTTTAATAAATCCCTTTGCTATACCTGCCTTAGTATACCCCAATTCCTTTCAGTGCCAAGTTCGGCTGAATATATTCACGCGGTTAGCTTGGAAAAGCGACTGTCTGCCCTCATCCAGAGCGCAAAAAAGTGTAAGTGGAATTAGCATTTGGCATTTAACATTTAACGAATACATCCAGCGCTCTTTGTGGCTGAGCTTGGTCTATTTTCTGGTTACGACTTGGCCCACACACAAGGTCGAAGGTGGGGCAATCCAATTAGGGATAAGAATCGAAAGCAACGAAATCGATGCGGCACTCTCGATGTTGCAGCAGTCTTAACTCGATTGAAATTTAAATTTATTTCCCTTTCTAATTGCCATTGCAGAGACAAGGCAATGAAAATGCGAAATTGAAGTTAGCACACAATTGTGAAATTGGACATTTTTATCGCCGGCAGAAATCATGTCAAATGTGAGTATGGGATGAAAACTCATTTCCTGGGGGACTTTGCACTTAAATCAGCCATTATTTTTCAGCTTCTCTACATGGACAAATCGAATGGCAATGGCGTCTATGCGGTCAAGCCGAACATGGACAACGATAATGCCCTAATGGGAGCATCGGCTGCCACCACAACCATGACAACATCAGGTGCAGGAGCTGGTGCAGGTGCGGGCACGGCAAACAACATAAACATAATGAACGGAGCTGCTGCCGCTGCGGCAGCTTCCGCTTCCGGCCTGCCCACTTCCGCCTCCAGTGAGGACCTCAGCCAGAGCCTGTCAGAGTACACGGACGCCGACGAGAGCATATCCGCGCCCACAGAGTTTCTGGCCGAGGTAAGAGCTTAACTAGAAAGCCACTGAATGGGTCATAAAAATAGTGCGAGCTATAGTTAGTTTTCCAAGGAATCAAGGGTTAAACGAAGCGAAAAATGTGGCTCTTTCTCAGACAGGTGTTGAAGGTTTACTTAATACAATAAATTTATATAATTTCGGTTTATATTAAGATGAATTAAACTTCAAATTAAACATGAGAGCTTTCCATTGAAGATTACTTCAAGTTAAGAAAGGCTTATGATCTCTTTTATGAAATTCCTGCACCCGCTGGTCTCCTCCATAAATAACCTCCATTATGTGGCACTCATTATCTAAGCGTGGCACACTTCTCGATTTTTCTTTATTTTTCGCTGAGCCCCACAACAAGAAGAAGGGTCCTTGGCAGCAAAGCACAAAGGCGAAACAGAACTTATGCAAATGCAAATTGCTGCGCTGCCAGGGCAGATTGCGGATTTAAGTTAAAGTCCTTTCGGCAGCGGGATTACGCCACCAAGCGCACTTGGCCGGGCTTATTGATTGCTAATAAATTGCTTTCGAGCGCATTCAACTTTCAGCAGAGTCAACTTTTCTGTCCTCCTGCCGCAATGTGGGCCAGTGGACCAGAAGCGGGCGGGCATAGCATAGTACACATAAGCCTTTTGTTGTTCAGATGTTATGAGAAAATTCAAAAGGATTTGATGGCATTTCCCTTAAACTTACATATATTGTGCGAGGCTCGAGTGCTTCGTGCTCCGTGTGCTAGCTACTATACTGTATTGTGCGTTCTTTATATTTTCTCCTGCAGTTCCTGTCCGCCGTGATGCTGAAGGACTACAAAAAGGCATTGAAATACTGCAAATTGAGTGAGTATTATAAGAATCTTCCAGCCAAAGTATGTCGCAATATTGGCGAGGGCTTTATTTATTTTATCTATATTGTTTTGAGGGGACTATAAATGTGCTGTTTACTACAAAAGGATTTATAAATTAGAAATCCTTCAATAAATATATTTATTTACCTTACAGTTCTCCAATACGAACCCAACAATGCCACGGCCAAGGAATTCTATCCGCTCATCCTGGACAAACTGAGGGCCGGTATGTAGTTAACTCTGGTTAAAGGTGACGGCAGTTAATTAATGGTATTTCCCCCCCAGTGGCCACATCCAGCGACAGCGATGAAAACTACAATAAATCTTCATCGCCCGACCTGGCCCTGGACCTGCACGCCTCCGATGTGGAAGCAGATGCTGATGGCGACGACGGTGGCGATGCAGATGGAGATGCGGATGTGGATGCCGATGCAGATGGAGACAGCGAGAGCAGCAACAACTGCTCCGAGGAGGATAATGGATGGGGTGACGACGAGATAGACAATGTGGATGTGATGGATGGCGAGGAGGAGAGCAGCAGCAGCGGCGATGACTTTGAGCTGCCCATAGACGATGCTGGGCAGGATCCAGCAGCCCTGGCAGTACACACTCCCCACTCACATACTCATTCCCACTCCCACAACGATTCAGGATCCTCGAGGAATTCGTCCAGTGGCGGGGGCGGACGCAGCGACAACACCACGCACTCCTACTCCAGTTTGCTGCTGGAGGAAGAGGACGACATTGTCCCGGTTAGCCTCCATTTCGGTCTCAAGGATAACGCAACTACAGACCTGGATGTGAGCAATGGTAAGGGGATTTCTTCTATACAAAAATACCCAAGTTAAGTTCTTTACTTAAATTCCAGGCAACAAAGTGCCCTCCGCCTCTTGCAGCGACTCGGAGTCCCCGACAGAACCGCTGACCCAGCGCCTGGCGGCCATCCTGCGCTCCAAGTGCGGTGTATCCGGCGGCACCGATGAACCCTATTAAAAATCTACACACAAAAATATTTAATTTAACACTGTGCGGGTATTATCTTTGGATTGCGAAACGCTTGCTGAATAAAGAGGATCAATGAAATTTTCCGGAAAAGAAAATTAGTATGATTTTCTACCTGACCGCACAGTGTCGTCTCTACATTTACATCTATATATTCTTGTATAACTCTATAAAGACCGTAACCTCCACCAGCCCTTGCCCGACTAGTCTCTCCACTAGTGCGATCGCTTTACGAACCTAGAAACCGTCCCTGACAGCATACTCTCGTATCTCGTAACTTGTAACTTGTAATTCGTACTCTGTATCTTGTATCTTGTATCTTGTATCTTGTATCTCCGGTAGCTAAGTTTTTGATCAAACGCGAGTCTCCCTAGGACAAACATATCGTACAAACTCAATAAGTACTTATATATATATACATCAATACCTATTTATACCACATACACATATATACTGTACATGTTTATCCTAGATATATAGCCGCAGAGCCCAATAAAGATATACTCGATACCGTAAGACGCATATAGCGGAAATCGCGAAACAGAATCAATATATAGATTTACATAGATTTACACGTATATATATATTTTTTAGTAAGAGACACCCATTCAGAACGCACAGGACTCGGAATGCTGCTTTACATATTTGCATTTGATAGAGATCGATTTTTCCCCACAAAGAGAACTAGAGATGAGAAGGAGAAGGAGTTACGATAAGGATAAGTCTGACAACAGGTGGAACGAACGAATGAGTGTAGAACTACAACTGAAATGGTCCAAAGTCACAAAACTACGTAGATGAGTGTAAATAGATATATTTTGTATCCGATTAAGCCCTGTACTCTCGGTTCGGTTTAGGTTCTATAAGTTAACGAGGATGCAACTCTAAAAACTCCCCCGTAATACTTATTATTCAGCGAAAATATATTTGTATTCGATAAGTTTTTTCCAACTATATTGTTGAATTACATTATAATCCGAATGGTCTGTATGTTTACGAAAGACAAAAATTGTAATAATAAAATGTGGCAAGAAAGCTGGAAAAGAAATTGCATTTTTTATGGGATAAAAGGTAGCCTCTTCCTTGCTTTGCCTGCAGTGTACACCCAGCGGAATCTCTGAAAAATCAAATCAAAAAACACTACTCTTTCACGTTGTTTCCTATATATTTTAAGAGAAAACACACTTTTGGATTGTTAATCAAACATTTGCTTATTTATTTTAAATCCATTATTATCAAAGATCCTCATTTTTATTCGTAAATTTTGTTATTAACATGACTTGCAATCATTTTGAATATATGTATGTATGTTGTTATCGTCACTTATGGGTTTTTATAAAACTTTGCTGGATGATATTCAAAAATGGGATGTTTTAAAAACATTTGCATGATCAAACTTCATTCCGTTTCATTCTTTTTGTTTTATGTTTTGTGAAATGCATAAAAAATATACAAAAATTGCAGTTGTCTTGTATAATATTATAAAAAGTTCTCTGCTTTTTTTCCTCCTTTCTTTCCAATGTACCATTTTGATATGTGTAACAAACTACTTTGATTAAATATATGTATATATTTAATATTTTCCTTGCTCTCCGAATACTGTTTCGTTTTAATTCTCTTCCTATTATTGTTATATCTCTGTTTTTGGAGTTGTAATAATTTGTTACAGCACCAAGTTGAAATAATACAAATTAAATTACAGCATAACAAAATTTGTTCTATTAGTAAGATTAATATGTTTCGTTTGTAAACTATTTGCTCTTGTAAGTTGCTCAAAAAAATCAGGTAATGAAGCTTTGTTTGTTTTCGTTTTGTGTCGTGTATATATGTATGTATATTCCGTTTTAGTTGATATCTTAAGTGTGAATTGAGAAGTATATTTCAGATGCGGCGCAAAACAAGTTTTAAATAAACTCGAAAGAATCACTTAAAGTTCTTATATATCCCTTATCTCAGCATAACAATATTTAACATACTTACTCGTGCTATTTCTTACGAGCTGAATATTCAATAAGACTTTTAAGATTTAATATGTGCTGCGTATAAAGACCTTATAATAACAACATGAATAATGCCATATAGGCATTATGCATTTTGATATAATACGGTTTTTTGTATAAACCTGCTAAGACTGCGTGTGTGTTTCATGTGCCTATGTGAGAGTGTTGTGTGTTTATAAAGAGTATATATTGTTTATATCTATATGTTATACGCTCTTAAGTTCGATTCTCGTTAAAAAGAAACTTTCCTTTGAAAACTTCAGGTGTTTGCTTGTACTGTCCAGTAGAATTAGAATACAATTACAATAATTACACATATATTAGACCTAAGTGATGTCTGAGGGTCGTTGGCACTACGTTGGGTAATTAAAGAAATAAATACAAAACATAAAATCCATTTAAATGTATTTTATTAAAAATACAACATTAAAACACAGAAATTAATACGTAACGTCTACTACAAAAGTAAAAGTAAAAGTTACAATTTAAAAAGTTAAGAAATTATAAGGAGTTTATAGGAAAATTATATAGAAATTAATTTTAAACTTAAGGCTACCTGGTGACGACATAGGGGAAATAATAGCTATAGTTAAAAGGGCTAGACAATAATCTTCAAACAAGTTGTACGTTATATGCATCGTTTCTTTTTAGAACTATATATGGTTATCAGTCAATGAAGTCAATGTGGGATGAGTTATCAACACATCTCTATGCACATAGCGCCACGCTTCAACACTCTTTGTTCTGTTTGGCTCAGTGTATACTCACGCCCAACAGATGCAAGATCATGGCTGTTTGTCGACCTATTTCGATGAACAAAAACGTTATCCTAAAGACTTTATCTGGTATTGGCTTGGCTGATGACGATCCGCGCTTACTTATCAAACTATCGATAGACTGCCGAGTGAGAAGGGCTTCCCATTGATTGGCTGGCGAGCCACAGATCCCGCTAGAGATGGCCTGTGGCTTAGTACCGCTTCTATAAGCAGTTTGTTGACTCCTTGGCATCGTCAATGTTGGTTATGTTCTTGATCAGCAGCTGGGCTGATGGATACTTGTTGAGCTGCGCAAAACGCTCCATAACGCACGACGAGCTAAGACGCGCCTCGGCGTCGTGGTCCCAGCACTCCTCCATGGTGTCGCAGAACACATTTAGACCCTGTACAAATTCAACAAATATTATTAACAATAACTTTTCGTAGCTTGAGCTGACTCACCTGATGGGCTCGCCAGGCGGGGAGCAGCCGCGGGCGCAGCTTCTTCATCACCACGCTCTCCTGGACTTCGTCCAGCGTGGGTCGTTGGCCCAGCTCCGCCTCGAATGGAAGCTGGAACTCGCCCACAGGCCCAGCGATGTCACACCGCGACACCATCTCCCAGAGAACCAAGCCGCAGGCGTAGACATCTATGCGTAAAAACGCATCTCGATTGAAATTAATGGCACCCTCGAGCACCTCCGGCGCCATGTAGCGACGGGTGCCCACCTGGCCGTGAGTGTCGCCGCATGACTTGCCCGGCTGGAAGATCATAGCCAGTCCAAAGTCCGCTATGCAGGCTGTAAGATCGCCCTTGAGCAGCACATTCTTCGACTTAAAGTCCCGGTGGGCTATCGACGGCTTAAGACCTTCTGTTTTTGAACCCGGAATCTCCTCATGCAAATGGGCCAGTCCATTGGCCATGGACTCGGCAATGCGGCACAACTCCGGCCAGGTGATGGTGTGCGACTTGAGGTAGTCGCACAGCGATCCATTGTGCTGGTACGTGGATATCAGCCAGTATTCCGGCTTGTCCATGTGCTTCTCCACGCCCAGAAACTCGAGGATGTTGGGGTGTCGCATACGCGGTAGCTTATAGATGTCATTCTCCGCAGTCCACGACTCCTTCTCCTGCATGCGGAAGATCTTGACGGCAACATCCTGGCCATGCAGCTTGGCCTGCCACACATCACCGAACCGGCCGCTGGCCTTCTGCTCCAGCAGCTGAATGGGGCGATTGCACAGCAGTGGTGAGGCATTGGTGATCTCCGCCTCGTGCTGGAAATGGATAAAATCAAGGAAAGTAAAATAATGATCACAGTAATATAAATATATGGGATTTACTCACCGTGGGTATCTCATTAAAGTGCGCCTGCTTGCGGCGTCGGTACAGAAACAGGCCCATGCCCACCACGACCATGAGCACGCTGAAGATGGAGGTGCCAATGTAAATGTACATCAAATTGCTGTCATCCTGCGTCTTCTCTTTGGGCACTGCAAGGACACACACAAGGGAGCGAGAATATGGGAACATTAAAGAGGGCTTTAAACGCTAGCTTGCCACAGGTGAACAACATCTCGAGTGGCATCCAGGCACTACGCTGCTGGGGTGGCCATATAAAAGGCAAAACGAAAACCAAAAAACGAAAGTTCGCCCCCAATTTCGCATCTCTTTTTCTCCTCATTTTGTTTCGAGATAAAAGCAAGCTAGAGCCCCAAGAACAAAACAACAAAGCGCAAGGCACAAAAGACGCTGTGGCAGGCAGTAGCAAAGGGTTCGGAAGCTCCCGAAGTCAAAGGCAAAGGCAGCAACACCCCAAAAATAAAAACAAAGGTAGCAAAGTCTATTGACTAGAGAATACCTCGTGTTTTTATATGTTTAGAACACTAAAAAGGCTTTAACCATAAAAATAGGTTTTTTCACATTAATTTTTTATGAAAAGAACAACATTAACAATGGTTTTTAATGTACATTTAAAAAAACTTGATATGAAGAGCTCGAAATTTATATTCTAAAGGACTCGATGTTCGTATTAAAAATGTATTAAATTCTATATCACAAAGATATTTAAGAGATTTACTTATTAGTAGAGAAATAATAAACAAAATAAACGGAAACACTTCCTCTTACACCTATTCGAATATATCCAATATACCCCTGAACTCAACACTCGTTCCTAACTATAAAAATAAAAACGAACCAGTGAACGTGCACAGGAGGGCAGAAATTGCAACACATGCTGCTCCAAAAGGGGTTGCTGGGCCTGTAGATGCAAAAATAAAAAAAAGGAATATACAAAAAAAAAAAAATGGGGGAATGGGCGCCACTTCGCGTCGAGAGTTCGTTAACACGAAAAACGCTGCCTCGGATGGGCAGGAGAGGGATTTTATGGGCAAAGTAAGGCCTCCCCTTCGTGCAACTTGAAGATGCAATAAAAAACGAGTAACAAAAACAAACAAAACAAAAAATAAATAAATATGCAAACGGAAAAAATAACAAAATTGGGGTAAACACGACCAAGACAAATCCGCGCAGCAACGCTAGAGAGAAACCGAAACCAAATACGAGTCCCCAACCCAGAACTCACCTTGCGTGGTTGCCTCTGTTGTGGTTTTAATATATTTGTGGTCGGAATTGCAGCGCGATCCCTTGCAGCAGCAGAAGAAGATGTTCTCCTGTCGCGGCTCCCCGGTCACGCACTCCGTCTGATTGCACTCGTGCATGTATGTGAAGCAGCCCTTCATCTTGATTCGCATAGCGCCTAAAGGGGGGAAACGAGAATGCAATCAGTATTCCGTTAAAAATGCCCATTTGCCACTAGGCCCCTCACCCGTAGTCTCGTTGGTGCTCCAGAGCACATAGCAGCTGGGGAACTTGTCCTGCTCCACCTGGCAGTGCTCGATCCGCGTTTCACAGTCCTGGGATGTGTTGCACATCTTCTCGTCAAAGTGCTCGCAGGCGATGTTGTGGTGTCCCTCGGGTAGGATTGAACCTTGGATCCCAATAAGGCAGCAGGCTGAAAAATATATCAATATCATTAGCATTAAGTTCTATATTTAAAAATGTTAGAAGTGATTTGGTAACGCCTCGTCATAATCCCGATTAAAGGATCAAAGTTAATGGAATTATCGGTTAAAAGCATTCAAAGGAAGGGGCAAACATAAAGCCGAGTATATTTGGGGAATGGGGTCCCTCCTCTTTGTCGGAGAGCAGTACGAGGAGGACTCTTTGTGGGCGCTATCCTTTGTACACATATCGCATGCCCACAAGGAGGGGCGAGTTGGATCCTAAGCTGGGGACCCTCCTCTGCCATTGAAAGCCACCCCATCCGGGCACGGAATTAGCCCCACTGGCCACACACCAGCCTTTGAGTGGGCATGGCCCCAATGCACGGATATGCAATGCCTGCACAATGGGCCCAATCTCGTGCCAACGAGTTCATCTGGGTCAAGCCACATAATATATGGGCATTTCCATGGTGTCGCACGCGACATTCGTACGCATTCAAAGCAAAAAAAAGTATGGTACATTTTATTTTTATTTCTTTTAAAAATATTAACTTATAACTCTTGCCTAGGGCTATAATTGGTGTTAGTGTTGATTTTGAGTGTATGCTCAAATTTAAGAAATTTAAAAAAAAATTGAAGTGTTCGCACGCGACAAAAACAGACAGTTTTTATCATCATACTTTGCATGTAATTTTTTACTATTTAAGTAAATTAGAAGGGCATATATCCTTTTTATTTCGACTTTTTGCATTCTTCTTGTGATGTTAGTAAACAACAGTCAAAGCATAATGCCTCGGTTTGGATGTAATTACCTAAAGAAAACAGGCCCATTTTTATGATGTTTTTCATCAAAATAATGAAAAATCGTGTTTGCGCGAATATGCATTCGAATATTTCGAAATTTGTTTTAGAATATGATAAAACCCTTCAAATTTAATCAATTGACCTTTTCCTAATGTTACTATGTTGGAAAAAAACATTTTAGAGAAGTTTTAGTTTTTTGGCCGCGGTTGACATTTCTGTGGAAATGCCCATATGCTATGTATAATCCAGAAGCTCTGATTCAATGACAGTCAAAACACGAGTTTTTTAATTTAGAGGTCTACAACATTAATTAGCACAAACGAAATCTTTAGGCCAAATCTGACGGATAATAATAATATTAATTAAATTAATTATAATACATTAAAAAATATGTTGAAACCAAAAGAACTCAATTTAATTTGTACCTCAAAAAGTAAGCATTAATATTTCAACTTAGTTATTTACTGTTTATTCCCACTGTCCTTTGGGGGTAATCGGATCGCTGGCTCTGGTTTTATATGTGTGTTGGGGTTCGTAAGCGTGCATGCTTTATAGTAAAGTAGATACATAAGCAGGCACATTATGCACACAGAAAGGGATGGGTTTAAAGTGGCGCTTGTGGGGAAAAAAGGAAATAGCAGCAGGAACCGAAACAACAACAACAGCAACAGGGAAGAGAGCGCATTGCGCCATAGTAAGAGAGAGAGGGAGAGTGAGAAGGTAGCCAAGAGAGAGTGGGGGCTTCAAAGGAAGAGAGAGAAACCAGAATCTGCCATCCAACAACAAGTTTCTAATGCAGCTACATCCATTCAAAGAAATGCTCAGCGTACAAACACTAACACAAATGCATAGATACGGATTGAGCTAACAGGATATCCGATCAAGTAGATACCCTGTAGAGAAGCTATTGAGGTATTTACAGGCTTTGAAGTATGAATTGTCCTTAAAGTATATTCTTAAATACAAAATCTAACTTTGTATACGATTTCAATAACCTTAAACAAAAATATATGGTCGAAAAACCAGCAGATACATTAATCTAGTGTTGCGATGCCACAAAGCGTAGCATACCCGACGCCAAACCAATATACCCCTCTTTTATCTATTCCTGGAGCCATGTGATATTAATAAAGTAATAGTGGTGCTTATGAAATCACGCACGCGTCTAAAATATTTGTATACAGGAAAGATACCTGTATTTCAGAAATCCGATGGGGGATATAGTATAAAATGTTATTGACAACAGTGTCGCCCCGGCATTAAGGCGCCAATAAGGGTCACTTACACTCCCACGCTGCACACACACACTATACATACCCAGTAAAAGCTGCGCCGTTAGATAAAGCAGCAGATCGTATTTGTTGGCCATTGTTATGCGTTATCGCCACCCGCTAAACTTGTTTACAGCACTGCGTATTACGTATACGCGTTGATTGCTCAGATATAATTGCGGAGTAGTGAAGTGTATCACTATTTTTTATGTATTTTCTTCTTTTTGGCACTCAGTTCTGGTTGGGATTTGTTGTGTTCGCACTTCCCCTCTCCTTCTCGCTCACTCGATGCACTGCACTCTCTTTTCGTGTATACTATGTGTGTGGGTGCGAGTGTGTGGGTACGCAGCGAATTTGCTGGCCACACGCTGCTTGCATGCACATTTTTCACGGATATTCGAAACGTTTTCCGCTCGACTTGATATCTTTTCACCGGCGCGCACCTGGAAACACCTTGCACTGCACTTTGCTTGCTTTTACAGGTCTGCAGGCCTGCTTTTTGCGACTTTTTTAAGCGAGCACGTCTTTCGGTTTTTTGTCGAAGCGATAGCGATGGTTTCAGTTCGATAACAAGCCAGGGCTACGCCATCAAAGTAGGCAGTTGGTATTTTTAATATCTGGATTCCGAAACCGATAGTATTTGATGTTTTTGTATTTTTCGGGGATACTATAACAAAATATTTACCTTTTTAAAATTTTTATTTATTTTTTAATTAAAAGGCCTTTAGTTCATTCTTATAATAACAATAATTTTAATTAAATGAAAAGGAAAAAATGAAAGTTTGAAAATAAAACTATAATAGGATTCCATATACGACTGAATAATTTAATTAATTACTAAATATATCAGCGAGGAATAGATATACTTAGTCGATATTTTCAGCCTGAATAAATTAATTTTTTTAAGTGTATTCTATCCATCGATAGTACTGCCTGAGGCTGGGATTTAAGTGTTTCTAAGGTACGGTCTCACTAACAAACATTAACTGGAATTTTCTGAAGGTGAGTTTCTGTTGCTGCAGAAAAACAAGTAAATAATATAAAAACAAAGCTGAAATATCGACTTACAATCTTGAAATATAAGTTAACATCCTTATACATAACTTTTGCACTACAATATGTGTTTAAAATGAAGTTTTCAGTAGCCAAACTCCTTTTTTTCGCACCGCAAACATGGCGTCGTTTTACAGTTAATTGCGTCTCTTCTTTTTTACAGGTATCCAACTACAAATTTTCTTGACTATAAAAAATGACTGGACGCGGCAAGGGAGGCAAAGGATTGGGAAAGGGAGGCGCCAAGCGTCATCGCAAGGTGCTCCGTGATAACATCCAGGGCATCACCAAGCCCGCTATTCGCCGCTTGGCCCGTCGCGGCGGTGTGAAGCGTATCTCCGGCTTGATTTATGAGGAGACTCGCGGTGTGCTCAAGGTAAGTAATGACGAATGCAGCGAAAGGAGCCAGTTTTCAAAGCCAATGCTTCTTCGCAGGTCTTCCTTGAGAACGTTATCCGCGATGCTGTCACCTACACGGAGCACGCCAAGCGCAAGACCGTAACCGCCATGGATGTGGTCTATGCCCTCAAGCGCCAGGGACGCACCCTCTACGGCTTTGGCGGCTAAGGTGTTGGCCCTTTTTACTTACTTTGACATAAATATATCCCATAAAGCTAATTACTTGATCGAATTGAAATTTAACCAGTAATCAGTAACTAAAATCTTAATCAGACGCAGCATATTATGTATTCCACAAAGATAATCCCATAAATAAATAGAAAGAAAAATAGGCTCGCTTAGAGCACAAAAATGTGGTGTATTTCTAATGACAGGAAAACGGGAGAGGCATGCAATTTTTACTTATACAAAGCTCTTTTTTATAGCATCACATAGTTTTTATTATTATTTATTTTATTAATATCCTATCCTTTGTTTTCAGCCAAATAGTACCTATTTTAATAGTCACATATATTTCATCTCTAACCCTTTAGACGATAATTTAAACGTATTCCTTTATATTTATTCCATTCCACTATATTTTATTTTCTTGCAATTGCATTTAATTTGTAATCAATTTTGTTTCTAGAGCGTTTCCTTATTTTTTTTTTTTTACTCTTAAGCTGTGCAAAATTATTTTTCCTGGCTTACAGCATTTTCCGTCGGGACTGTTTCCTGCCTGGCAGTATGTAGGCGCGTACATAGAAGTTGCCGAATAGCACGAAGAATGAGATCTGCAATAACATTCCCGGATATATCACCGTTTGCGAAACATCGCAGTTGGGCCGCCTTAAGGTGTTGCTAAAGTATATGAACCCCAGAAGGAACTGAACTAACTGGACGATGGTGATGTACTTCTTCCACCACAGACTGGCCTGAACCTTCGTACTGACCGAGGACAGGTAATAGTAGGTGTACATGATAATGTGCACCGCCACATTTAGAAGGCACACGGGGAACATGACACCGCCATACCCGCTGAAAGTCATGTAAAAGTATCCAAACAGGGCTAAGTTGAAATGGTGAAATACGTGCAGAAATGTTATCTGCCTAAACTTCTTTCGCAACAAAAAGAAAATGGTCTCGGCCAGGTCCATGTACTTGTTGAAGTAATACGCATATGCGAGCACGCGCTCCCAGTTTTTGTGTTCGTGATCCAGGGGCAATCTGTGGACGCAACTTAGGTCGTAGGCCTTCAAAAATATTAGAAAGTAAAGGCCCTGCAGACAGGATCTTGTTATTTTTTGTATATGCATAGGATTATTTAAGCTTGATACTTACACATGCCAACATCAGACTGTTGTACAAGATTTGTACTAGATTGTAGACCTTGATTACGCCTCTCAGATCGAATGGCTCTCGGTTCTCCATGAACTTCCTTCCTGGCTTCAGCGCAATGAGCAGGTAAGCCGAGAGTATAATCAACGTGGACCAGGGACTGCCCATGAGTGGTAACTGAACGGGATCTCCTGAACTAGTCATGTTAAGAATTTCAATCATGGTGAAAGGATAGTCTTCGTTTAGTGAGCTCCTACACCCGCGTTTGCTAGTTCATTAGCGACTAAGCGCATTTTATGCAACCAACTGCTATTTAAGAATGCCTACAATGTGTACAGGTTTTACGTGTAATTGTAATTAAATTAAATGTTGTAGGGGTCAAGCAGTCTGCACGTTCTAAACCTGAATTTGCATTGGAAGTACAGTGTCATTCAAGCAGTGATCAGTGAACAGTTCAATATAATTCGGAAAATATATACAAATTAAACAGATTTCGTCTTAAATTTATGATGTCGATATCTTTAAGGACGAAGTGCATCGGGGTCTAGGTCCGAACCCCCGATACTGGCTCTACTTATCCATATGTAGAGCTTTAATAAGAATAATGTCTAGTACCTAGATCATACACAGATATTTTGTCAGAAGATGGGTAAAGCAAAGATTTTATTTGCAGCTAATTCGATGCAATCTGAATATATCATATATATATTTATATATGTATCTTGCCTTCCCCACGAATGTTTTTTTCTGGACTCTTTCCCACAGAATAAATGCAAAACATAATAATAACAATAAATACCCTCACGTAGAGCACACAAATATAGTAAATCTTTAATATTAGGCAATCGGGAATTCCCAAAATTTATGTTTTTGTACATTTTTATTTGGCACAGCTTGGCAGAAGGCGGTACGGCGACGTGCAAAGTGGAGGTCCTTGGGGGTACAACAACTGCAAATTTAGCCCTCCCTGTCCTGCCCCTATCCCCGTAGAATTGAGTTGTATAGGTGTTGCCGCTGCCTGCCGCTGCTGTGTGGTGATGGTGTGTGTGAGCGCTCCTACGAGCACGATTCCCGCTTCGGTTGCTGCATCGACAGAAAGGCGGAGCGCGGTGATAGGTTCTGATCCCTGCCACCTGCATCACCGTCGCCGCCACTATCCGCCTGTGGCAATGACACACTACCTTCGGAGTGCTTGCGTCGCGTAAAGACCTGCACGGGAGTGAACTTTCCGGAACTAGTTTCAGAGCCACCGGGGCGTAACGTTGCATCCGTGGTTTCCGTGTCCGAGTTGTCGGAATTGTCCACAGTGGTATCGGTGGAGCAGAGCTCCTCGTAGTTGGACATATAGCTCTCCATGTGCATCTCGTTGACCTGTACTTGTAGCAACGACTCCTCTGTCTTGGTTTTATGCCGCTTTTTGGCCATCTTGACATTGGCGTTGGTCCTGCGCTCCAAACTGTTGACAAACTGTGCCACATGGCCATCACCACCGCCAGAGCCATAGGTACCACCCGCGCCACGCTTTTGAGCCAGAGCTTCCGCAAGTCCTGAGGGTTTCGGAATGCTCCGGCCGCAGTTATCCCCCACGTAACCGTTCTCATAGCCCCGCTTTACCATGTGCTGCTCCCTCTCGTAGGTATACTCGTAGTTTGTATCCCCGGGGCCGTCGTAACGCTTGCCAGAACTCACCATGGCACTGTCACCAATGTCCGTCTCAAACTGCACGGCAGGATTGAGCTTGAACTGGAGAAAGGCAAGGGGATTAAAGGGTGTATAGATTCGAAATCACTTGAAATGATGCCAAAAGGTGGGCAACTATTTTGACATAATTTTAAATCTGAAATATGCACTCACATCACGCTCGTTGGCAAACTCGTGATCCGACTTGGACTCGTGCTTCTTGGCTTTGCTATCCTTCGTGTTGGTCTCCACATACTTTATTTCGCTGCGCACCTTGCGCACCTGGAGCTGCTTGCGGTGTGTGCTCTGCTGCTGGTATTGCTGCTCCTCGAATGTCGACTCCTCCGTCTCCGATGGACTTTCTTCTGGCGGCTCCACATCCTCCACCTCGTGCAAGGTCCTTAACTGCTGATCCAAGGATGGATGTATGTGAGTTGGGGACTGATGTGCGTGCTGGTGATCCAAGGACGGACGCTGCATCTGCATGTGAGTGGGAGATTGCTGCTTGAGCTGATGATGCATTTGCTGTTGCAGCTGCTCATCCTTGCGCAGTGTGCCCATATCGCTGCGGGGTGAGACCTCCGGACTGGTGACAGCACTGTTCACCAGCCGGTTGAAGTGCGTCTGGCGGTAGCTCTGGGAACTGGGAAGGGAGAAAACTTAGATAACCCAGAGATCCGCTGGGAATTAACTTACTCCTTGACCACCTCTGGTGGGGTCTCAATGCGTACAAATTCGTTGGCCATATGCGAATGGCCTGCCGACTCCATACCCTTCTCGTGTACCACGTTGTGTGAATTTGTGTTCATTAGCTGGTAGCTGAGCTTCTTGTTCAGCATCTCCGCCTTCTTGCGCAGCGTCCGCTCGAAGGAAAGCTGCTCCTCCAGTGTCTTGATGTGACTCAGCAGCTGGGATACGGTCACCTTCTTGTTCTTGGGCAAACTCTGCAGCCCATTAACACAGCTAAGGTCGTACTCCGGCTCCTGTTTCTCCTCGGCGGGTTCACCGAGTTGATCACGGATGCTGCGGAGCAGGAACTTGCTGATGCCCTCATTGTTGCGTACATTGAACTCGGTGATGGCCGTGTTGAGTGCAAGGCAATCCAGGATCATATTGGCACCCACATCCGTAAGCCCGCAGCCCTCCATGTCGATTTCTGTAGGATTTAGGGGCAGTTAGAGGCAGGGATCTGGGACTATTGCTAATTAACTCGAATTAACTCTTTATCCAGGCATCCTCCTTGAGGACCTCGGCTATCATTTGGACACCATCATCGCCCAGCTCTGGATTATTGGCCAGCAAGATGGTGCGGAGTCCTCCAATGGTGTTTACGTCCACGCTGCGATACCGCAGCGACTTCTCCCAGCCCTCGCTGAAACGAGTGATCTTTTGCATCTGCGAAAGTGGATAAAAAATATTTTTAAAAAATCTAAAATTAAAGGGTAACCCACCCTCATCATATCAGCCACATGCTCAGCTCCCTTGGAGGTCAGGCCGCACTCGGAAAGGTCGAATGTCTCGATGCGATTTAGGTACTTGGCCGTGTTGCAGACCACCTCGCAGCCCCGGTCACCGATGTTGGACTTGGAAAAGCTCACCGTCTCCAGGCACTCATTGTCGGCCAGTGACTGTAAACGGTTGGAAAAGGATCTTTAGAGGATGCTCTCAACCGTTTATATAAATTCGTTCCACCTTGGCAATTGTTTCTATATAGCCATCCTGCAGCGGCAGCCCCTCCAGCTTAAGCACACTCAGATTTTTGTTGCTCGAAACGCAGTTGGCAATCGCCTGGATCAGGCTCCCAAAGATGAAACGCGTAAAGATTACAGGTCGCTGACGGAAGAGCCTGGCACGCTTCTCTGTGTCAATGGGGTCAATGTTGGCTGGCGAAATAATATTATAAAATTATAGATAAGAAGAAGGTAGAAGATACCTCCCACAGAGAACTCACATTGTGGATAGCTGCGACGCAGACGCACCACCAGCTGCTGCAGCACCAGGTCGTGGTGCAAAGCCTCGGTAAGGAGCAGCCAATCGCTGACGGCCAGCTTGTCACCGCATAGCTCCAGGTAGGTGGTGGTAGCATTTGACTTGGTGCGGATTTCCGGCACCGGTGCCAAGTTCTTGGCCCGGCACAGCTCCAGGTAACGGAAGTGAAACGACCGGCTCTTGCTCGATTTCTTCACCACCGGCGGCAGGGACACCAGCACGGTCTTCCTTGCCAGTTCATTGGTGTTGCCTTTCGGCTGCACCGTACGGGCCACTGACATTTTCGTTTAGATCTGTGGATCTTGTGGATCTGTGGTGAGTAGAAGTGATAATATTAAAAATAAAGATGATAAATATCCTTACCGAAAAAATAGGTTAGTAGTCTAATAAATGTTTTTTTATAATTGACTTAAAAATCAAGGTATTATTTCTACGAATTTTAGAAAAAAACATTTCTTTAAAGCTATTACTTTCAGAGAAATTAAAAACGAGACCAGAAGAACTAACCCCTATTATTATTATAATAAATGATTTTTTATAATTGGTTGCATTAAAAGAAAATTAAATTATTGTAATATAAAATAATAAAAATTTTACATTAAGGTATACAAATATTTAATACCCCAAATTTAGGCCATAATTAGCCAATCTTAAGGCCACCAATAACCTTTATATTTAAGTGCTTTCAAAAGCTTTATTAAGTATTTTACTTTAAGGTTATTATTCCAAACATTTAAACATTTTTTTTTTACTGTTCAGGGCATTCTTCATTTTGTGTAAATTTAAAAATATATTTCTCTAAAGGATTGTAACAAATGAAATCCATTCAGAACCACAACGTTACAACAACTGTACCAATAAGGTAAATATAAATTAATTTCTAAACCCAAAAAGAGTGGTAACTCTTTTGTATTATCAACCCTGCGTTTAACCTTCAAAAAATTGCATAAGCACTTCCGGTTTCCAGTGGCCAGTGGTGGCTTTTCCAGTATTCCGGGGGGCTCGATCCACCACAACGAGCTTGCAAATGGTAAACAAACAAAGAAAAGCTTGTGGCGCATACTAGTCACTCATTTATTTATTGTTTATTTGCCGGCGGAATTTACGCTTGGCCAATTACTCGCGTGCCTGCACTAAGTCTATCCCAGTCGCACCCGGTGTGCGCAGGGTTGCCATGGCTCTTAACCATTTCCAGGCAGAGCGCGCGCGCCGAAGTCTCGTTAGCTGGCTTTTTGGCCTGCAACTTCAGTCTTTTAGCGGCTGTCGAGAAAAACACTTCGGGTTTCGGTCTTGTGACTTCTCGACTTTGCAAGTTTCAGTTTCGAAAGTGCAAAAAAAAAAAAATACAAACGTTTCTTTTTCGTGAAATTCATTCACGAATTTAGGTAGAACTTAAAAAACGTTGCGCGTGTCTTGGGGCACGTTCCATCATTAAAGTGATCTCTGCGTATTTAGTTTCATTCTATGTTTGTTACCTCGATTTTTTAAGTATTTATTTAGAAGCCGAGTTCCGGTTCGTGCATTGCCCAATTTGGAAGCGTGCGACACGTTTATTTAATGCGGTTCCATTTCCATTTTCATTCGGTATTCTATATTGCGTACTCCAAATGTGTGTGCTCGTGCGGGGTTCTTGACTCATGCCTAATTACCAGTGACGTCGAAACCGAAGCAGAAGCAGAAGCCTTTCGAAAATGTGTCAGCCACGAAATTTCCCGGTAGTTCCCAGTTTCTCTCTGGCTAGTACTTAGTTGAGAAACACTCGAGTGTGACACCAGACCAAGTTGGCTTCCCCTAATTACTTGACACAGACTAAAGTGAGTGACGAAGGATAAAAAGCGGACAAGAAGATACCCCATCAAAAAAGGATACCCTTGCCAGGAACACCTATTTAATAGGGGGTAAGTCTGGAACCAGTTTGCACTACTATTTTGGCTTGTGGCAGGCTTTAAAAGGGGAAAGATACTTGGGAGGTTTCTTGTCGAGCGGGTCCTTAAGGGTGACTCTAAGGAAGCACTACACAAAAATATTATAGAGTCCTAAAAAGAAAAACTATAGCTGAGTTCAAGATAAAATAAAGTTGGGGGAATACTTTTAGAAGCACAATAAAAAATAATAATTGTTTGTATTATTTTCAATTAAAATTCTGCCTTATTTAATTGCATAGCTTCTCAACTTAATGTTTAATTATTTCTCTAAAATTCAGAGATCAAATTTACCATCTCTGCTGACCCCAACTAATAATAAACACCCTTTACTACTCATCTCGTAATGGGCTCGTAAATTTGTATATTTACTTAATATATTTTTGCAATGACTTAACAGTGTAATTCGCACCTAGTTACCCTAGATATTTCGTTCTGTGCATGGAAGCCTGAAGTTTAGCCTCAAATGAATTTCTTTGCAACACCACGACTAAGGTCAAAGTTTAGCTCAAGGACTTCTAGCCCCAGCACTTCCAACAATGAATTGTTTAATTGCCTAAAATGTAGAAATACTTGCAAGGTAGATTTAAAATAGAAAAATGCGAAAATACTGGCAAGAAAATCGAGACAGAAAAGGAGCCGGAGTGTAACGGACAAATTGCCAACGACACCACACCAGACCAGCAGCAGCAGCAGCTCCATTTGAGCCAAGATCCAGAGCTGGCTCGGCTGGCAAAGTGAGACGGATGCGGGCGTCGCTTGAACCCGGGTCCACGTCCACGGGTTGTGAGTTGTGAGTCAAAAACCCAGCTACCGCAACGGAGCCAGGTCTCCGCTTTACTAGTACACAGAGAAAAATAAGGTCATTAAATATGGGGAGATTTGAATTATTTTATTTTGGAGTGATTATTAAATTAATAAAATGTAAATAAGGACACAGAAGAATGTCATAGGAACATAAGTATTAAAAAATAATTTTAATACCCTTTTTCGTATCAAAAATATATATGGAAAATTGTAGAAATTATCTACCTATATTCCTATCCCTATATTATTATTGCTTTAGTCAAAAGAATTCTTTTACAAAACATATTAAAAGTTACACCAATTTAAATCAAATTAAATAATATATTTAAACCATATTAAAATATTAATTCCAGTTAGTAACTCTTTCCTATAATTATTACCAATTGTTTATATAGTTATTAACTTGATTACTATTTTTCTGTGTGTACTCTTTTGTCTGCCTGGCAGCCAGCAAACAATTGTTGGCTGCTGGCGTTGAACTTGACTGTTGACTGTCGACTACATATATCGGAATCGATGGGCATGACAAAAGGGCCCTAATACGGGGGAGGAAGTGTTCAAATTGGAGTATATACTCCAAAAGCCAGGGGCCCCGCGGCTCAGCTCGGGGTTCAGGCCAGAAAGCTGATTGTTTGGCCCGCGGGGCCGGAAACTGGAGGCAACATTGGTCACAACACGATCCGCTGCAATCTCAATCTGCATCGCAATCGTTGCTCATTGCACTCGAAAAAAAAAGACTTTAAATGTGCCTAAATGCTTAAATTCAAGTAAAATTGTAATTAATAAGAAGAAACATTGAAAACACAAGCTTTTTATAATTTCTTGAGATTTTCTATAAAAGCAAGATCTAAGCTTATTTTCCAAGCTTTATAATTGTTTATAAATTTGTTTCCCCAAGTGTACATATGTGCCTGCCACTCTCAGCCGGGCTTAACATATTTAATATAATTAAGTGAACCCCAAGCCTGGCTTGGAAAGTCATGAACCGCCGATTATGGTGGCTGGTGAGGTGTAGACGGGGTGGTATCCGAGGAGAAAGAGAGCCCGGGAAACATTGTCGCAGTGGCAAACAAATCAAAATCCAAATTGTTTATTGGGATTTTCATTTCTGTGCAGCGATTATCTTGGTGAGCCGCCTGTTTATTTCTGCGGTTACCCACAAGGCGGTGGCTAAGAGATGGCCCCAGACGACACACAGTGGACGACACTTTACGGTCAGGATTTCACTTTTGGCCAGGTCAGAACCTGCCAAGCGTGAACCTGAACCTGCAACCGGAGACGTGGTCGGGAGTCATTAGCACTGAATTCGCTTGGATTCAGAAACATGTATCTCCAGGTCGGAGATACATATGCGTGGTAAATGTATCTGTATCTGAGCTGCGGAAAGGCGCCGACGCCACCGCGCCGTCATGGTGACTGGGCCAAGTGTTTTATTTGACTTTTCGGCGACTCTGCAGTTGCTTCTGCTACTTTCCACTTACGTAAAAATCCAGGGGAAATGCTAGATCTCAGATCGCAGACTTTGACTTTGCCGATCTTGCAGAGAAGGCGTAACTTATTAATTTGCCTTAATTCAGTGGGTTTTCGCTGTGTGGAAAATTGGCAGGCACTGCCTAGTGTGGGTGGAACTGCGCGTATCTCCCACTAATGGAGTTAATTAAAACTAAATGTGATTTTGAATGGGCCAATTTGTGGGGAAGTGATAGCTCCGCCTCGGATATTAGGTAAATTTAAAGAAAATGCTTGAATTACTTTGGATTTCCGGTATGGTATTTTCTTAAGGGGCGAAAATGAAAAGTAAAGCTAAAAGTTTAGGGTTATTTCTAAAGAAGTGTTTTTAATGATTAAGTGTTTTTATTTTTTATTTCCTTTTGTCTTAATATATAAAACATAAAATTTCTTAGCTTTTCTAGTTATTATTTATTTTTATTACAAACCAAATCTCTTTAGAATTGCATTCCATTCCATTCCGATGGATTTCCCCTACATTTAAAACCGAAAATAATCGACAGCTTTGATAACCCCGATTCGGGAGGCAGTGCAGCATGAAATTGCCTGGCCAGCGGAGCATCCACAACCCCCATCCTCCATATAGCAAACATCGCCCAACTGACCAAACAACCCAATTGCTCCGCTGTCCACGGATGCATGGATAATTATCCATGGATTCAGTGAGAAGCCATCGCCCAAGAGTAGAAGATGCCTTTATTACACTGGGCAAAAAACAAGCCATACAATTGAAGTAAAATTCCTTTGTTTTTTGTTACTAAGAGCAACATTAAAATAATTTCTTTAAGATTTTCGATTCTAGGAAAAGTTACCTAAAATATTTTTACCCTTAAAAACCAAGGAAAACATTTTGGCATAAGAAATAAACATTTTAACAACAAAGTAACTCACTTTCGTAAATAATATTTTAAAAACTTAGCCTTAGATTATTTTTTTAGGTGCACTAACCATACATAGTTGCATGAGGCGCGTGTTGAAAGCGAAATCAGGCGCGGATTGTGATTACTTTTGAATCACTTAACCGTGATCAGCTCAGAGGCTACTCTCTAACGACCTTGTCTGTGCCTGCCTGCCTGCTGCCAGATTTTCCCGGCGAGATAAAGTTGATAAAGATGATTGTCCCCTGCGGGCTTGTTGCAACCTGCTGCCAGGGCAGAGCCCCGGTAATGAGCCATCATCCCACAGCTACTTGAAATCGAAAGAAAATTAAGATTACGATTACAACGATTGCGGTGGCAATCAAGAAATAGCCAGGTAATTGCGAAATCAATGAACCGCACTAGGAATGAAGCTATATGTATATCTCGTTTGGAGATTGCTCCGATTGCAAATGAGCCAAACCGAGAGTTGAACCTCCGAAACAATGGCAATGAATGGCTCTGGCATTAATAATGCATAACATATATGGTCTGTACTCGTATGCAAGTATCTGCATCTGACAGATGCACTCATCGCGCTACAAATGCATTTTTCACACGCACCCTCTGAGAAAAGATAAGGTTTTTCCGAAAGTGAAGCAACATCATTACATTTTTTGACGACTTTTTTTGTAGTTTTCCTTTGGAGTTTGGTTTAAGTTTTTGAAATTTTAAGGGGGATTTTGCCTTTCAATAATATATATAAATATATTTAGTTTTAAGGTTTAAATGCTAAAAATAATATTGCAATCTTTATTCTTTCAAGGTATTAAAGATATAGATTAAAAGACGTGAACATTGAATTTTCTTAAATATTTTTTTAAATAGTAAAAAAGCTCTAAACATTTCTCAAAGTACTTTTTTTTACAGGCAACTCTTAAAATCCCAAAAGTTATTATTATAACTTACATTCCCCTAGAACTCTTTAAGATACCTAAAGATATCTATTTGCCCTTTTCTTAGCTTTAAAAAAAGTATCATAACTTTCAATTTTCACTTTATTTGCCCAAGAACTTATCTGCAATTTGTTTGCAATTCGCCATGAGACAAATCTGGCACATGAACAACCCGAAGTAGCAATAATTGCCGGGCAGTTTAGAAAACGTTACGGTCGTTAAGCCACGAAAGAAATACAACCGAAAAAAAAAAATATAAGAAAACCTAAAACTAAAGCAGCCGGCAACCGCGAAACCCATAAAATTTCTTTAGCGGAATTCCAGGCTGGCGCTGAGCCAGCATTAAAGTAAACTGCAAAACTGAAAACCGAGGCAAAGCCAATATAAACAGTGGACGCTTAATTAATTTGCGCATAAAACTTTCGCAAAGATCTGAATGCCTGCTGCTGCTGTCCGCTTCTCACGCAGAACTCGCGGACAGCGGACAGAGAACTCGCGGACAGCGGACAAGTGCAGCAGTCGGTTTGCGAGTCCAGTTCCATTGAGGTTTCCTAATGGACGACCTAATTGAGTTCTCTCGTCTGTCAGAATGTGGCAAGAGCAGACGCAGACCGAAACCAGAACTCCACCTGTGGAGTTTTCATTTTAGAAGAGGTACACCGAGAGAAATTATGAGCTTAACATCAAGAGGAAATATGCTAATACAATGCCAGTTTATTTATGTTTTTTAAAAATATTCTACCTATGCAGTTTTTTAAATGTAAATATGTTATTTTTCAAATATTTATAATATATTCTGTATTTAAATAAGAAATAATACCAAATATAACCATAATTTCGTTCTCTGTAAAAACTTCTCGAGCGAAACTGTTTGGGGGTACAAAGATCACGGCCCGTAAAACGTGCGACAACACACACACGAAGAAAATGGGTTAACACTTTTCTCTGTCGTAACACTCTGCCTATTTTCTAGGTGGCCCTGTACCAGACAACGCGACGAGTCTACCTGTCATGTGGATTTTGGGCAGACATTAACCCAAAGGTGCTCAGAACAAGCTAAGCCAACCCAAAACAACCTCCTCTCCTCACAACACAATGTACAACGAAGCACAGACGACGTCGTCGCTGGACTACAAGAAGGTGCGCTTAAAAGGACACCCAACGCATCTTAAATCCCCTAGAGATATAAGCCGCATCCACAATCCCACATCCTTCTCTATATACCTGCAAGTCATCATAATACTCACCGCACTAATCAGTTTGGTTGCCTCAAATCGCCCGCCGCGATTCGCAATCGACGGGCAGTCAGAGATTGTACTGCGTTTGAAGGAGAGTCCTGAAACGAAAGTGGGTGAGTTTCGATTAAATAAAATAGTAAATAACCTAATAATAATATTTATTAAACCAAATTTAAATATAAAAATTCAGTAACAAAAAAATAGTTAATGCTGTATCAGACCTGATTTTATCTCTACGATGTGCCAAATGAGTTACTGCCCAAAAACGTTGATGACACATTTTAAGTGGACTGCTTAGTTATGTTTATTACTGTTCTTATCGATTTTAAGATACACTTAATTCCGTGTTTATATCAATTGCTTTCATATATTTTATAAATATTTTAACAACAAAGAAGATTAACGAAAATCCAAGACGATGAGTCATAGGTTTGATAATGGGTTTTATTATAATTTAATATTATTTATATCTTTTCTACAGGAACCCTTATATACACCCTAAAGGGCTTCGACCCAGACAACGATCCCTTGACCTTTGGCAAGCGTAACTCGCACGACAGCGAGATAATTCGTATAGAGAACACCGGCGGTAATGAGGCCAAGGTCTTTTTGGCCAAGGAGCTGGACCGCGAGCTGCAGGACGAGTATGCCATTGTGCTGACCCTCACGGACAGCCAATACAGCGACCCCAACTATGTGACGCAGAGCTTCCTGCTCCTGGTGGAGGACATTAACGACAATGTGCCCACTTTTCTGCCCTACCAGAATGCCATAGAAATACCCGAGGGCAGTGCTCCGGGCGTGGTCAGCACTTTAGAGGCCACAGATGCGGACGAGGGAGCCTACGGCCAGGTTGTGTACTATCTGCAAGAGCTGGATGGCGACAACGATGTCTTCTCCATAACCACGCACCAGGGCAAGGGTATCCTGAAGCTGGAAAGGGAACTGGACTACGAGCGGAAGAGTCTGTATCAGCTGAGGGTTTTGGCCATTGATCGGGCAAATCAGGGGCCGGTTAACACGGGAACGGCAGCCATTCTTGTGAAGGTCAAGGATCTGGAGGATCAGCCTCCGGAGTTTGTGGAGGTGCAGGCTGTGGCAAGGATAGCCGAGGATGCCCCGGTGGGCACAAAGGTGCTACGAGTGCGGGCCATCGATGGGGATCGTGGAATCAACAATCCCATAGCTTATGCTCTGGAGGCCAATGATCTCTTCGATATTAATCCGCACACCGGGATAGTCCACACACTGACCAAACTGGATCGCGAGGAGCAGAGTGATCAGGTTAATGGTGCCCACATCCTAAGGATCACTGCCACTGAGCTGTCCAAGTCAAATACCCAACTCGCTCCCATGACAGTTCGCACTGAAGTTACGATCATTGTAAGTGACGTGAACGATGAGATTCCAACCTTCGGGGAGACCGTATATCGCTGTGAAGTCAATGAGAATGCCCAGACCAATACTCCTTTGAACTTTATAGATGAGGAAGTGCAGAATGTGGTGTTTGATCATGACGAGGGCAACAATGGCACCTTTCGTTTATTTCTGGATCCACCCAATGATCTGTTTGAGATTGTGCCTGAACTGGCGGTTAACGAGGCCAACTTTATGTTGAGGGTAAAAAACTCCAAGTCCTTGGACTTTGAGCAGTTTACAGAGGTCAACTTTACGATATTCGCCAGAGAGATCGATGAGCCCAGTCGTTGGAGGTGGGTTTTACTAGGGGTTTTTCTTTGAAGAAAATTATACTTAATATCTTTTTCAGTTCCGCTCATGTTCAAATATTTATTCGCGATCAGAATGACAACTTCCCAGAGTTTAGTCAGGCAATATACAATGCCAGTGTCTTGGAGAACAGCGATCAGGGCACGATCATCACCCAGGTGCAGGCAGTGGATGTGGATTCAGGGGATTATGGCACCATGGGCATACGTTATACGAATCTTAGAGGAGGCATTGCCCACTTGTAAGTCTCTCTTTTTTAGCATTTCCATAGAGAAAATACCTTATACCCTTTTCGCTTCCCTTCCAGACTCCATCTCAACCCAATTACCGGGGTAATAACTATCAGACAGGCAGGAGGAGCTGCCTTTGATCGTGAGATTATTTCCCGACACTACCTCACCGTGGAGGCTATTGATAGCATCGGGCAGGGCAACCGGAATACTGCCCAGATAATCATAGACATCCAGGATGTCAATGACAATGCCCCCACCTTTCCTCAGCGACAATACGAAACTAAGCTCTTGGAGAACCAATCAGAGTTTGAGACTCCGTTACAGCTGGAGGCAAGGGATGCAGATCTCAATGGCACTGAGAACAGCCAGGTTACCTACGAAATAGTGGAGGGCATGTACCGCTCCAACTTTACCATAGATCCGCAGAGCGGTCTCCTGCGTCCTGTCCACCGTTTCGACTTTGAGGAGTTGGTGGAGCGAAGCAGTCGAAGGAGTGATCCAAAGGAGGGAGGATCTCCTAGCATTCGAGAGATCGATCTGCTGGTGCGAGCTCGGGATTCGGGGATTCCCATGCTCTCCACCGTGGTTCCTGTACTAATTTATATCCAGGATGTGAACGACAATGCACCGATTTTCCAGCGCAGCTTCTACGCAAAAACAGTGCCTGAGGATCTGCCAGGTGGAAGCTCAGTGCTCCAAGTCACGGCCATAGATCGCGATGGCTCATCGCCCAATAATGCGGTAGTCTATAGGATACAGACAGGAGCCAGTGATAAGTTCATCATTAACTCGGAAACGGGAGTTATTTCGGTGGCGCAGGGAGCAAATCTGGATCCGGATCTTACAGAGAGCAAGCGATCGTTGTACACCATGACAGTGGTGAGTAAAGTTAAGAGATTAGAGGACTCGCTCGAAAAACTAACAACTCTGTTCTTCTAGCTCGCTTTAGACGGCGGTTTGGGCAACTCCCAGCTGATGACCACTTGTACGGTGAACATCAGCATTCAGGATGTGAACAACAAGGCTCCAGTTCTGGGTGAAATGCCTGCTCTGAAGATTTTGGAGAACACGCCCGTGGGCACGCGGGTTTACCACATCCAAGCCACTGACTTGGACCAGAAGGCCATTTTGCGGTACAAACTTAACCCAGAGCATAGCGAGGGTCGCACCGAGGAGGGAGCACTCGTCAAAAGTGGCGAGTATGACTTTTTGGGAGCCTTTGAGGTGGACCCCATTGAAGGCTCTCTCAAGGTAGTTAAACTACTAGATCGGGAACGTGTGGAACACATCAAACTAGCCATCACCGTGGAGGATCTGGCAGCGGCCAAAGGCAGACAGCTAGCTGAAGGTGGGTTGCGTTATTGATGAAGACTAGAACTTTTTATAAATCCGTAATTTCCCAGGCTTTCTCAGCATCCAAGTGCTGGATGAGAACGACAACAACCCCAAGTTCCGGCAACCCTTCTACAAACAATCCATCACAGAGAACAGCATCAATGGAGCAATGATTGTGAATGTTCTGGCCTCGGATGTAGACAAAAACCGCACCATTACCTATGCTTTGGAGGGCAATCCCACATATAGATCTCTGATGCACTTGGATTCCCAGACAGGCGAGATTGTGGTGGCCAGCAAGATCGATCACGAGCAGCACCAGTGGCTGAACTTTAGTGTGAGGGCCACAGACTCGGGAATACCACCGCGATCCTCACTAGTGGATGTTTACGTAACCGTCCTGGATGAAAACGACAATAATCCGTATTTTGTGGGTGGCAGCAAGAACTATACGATCAGCGAGAATGCCGCTCCGGGAACCAGAGTCGCCACCTTACAGGCAGCGGACGCAGATTCCGGGGATTTTGGCAAGATCACTTTCCTGATGGATCGCATCAGTTCGCAGGGGAAGTTCACCATAGACGCAGACACGGGAGTGCTTACGGTGGCCGATCGTTTGGACAGGGAGTCCAAGGACTCGTACAACCTGGTAATCGAGGCCTGGGACAACTACCAGTTTGGGTTCCTGGCGGGGGAGAGTAGGAATGCCTTCAAGCAGATGTTGTAAGTGATTGCATTTTCTTTGTTTTATATTTTATTATTATTTAAAATTAACTTTCCTAGCATTTCCATTTTGGATGAGAATGACAATCCCCCAGAGGTAAGCCTGCCCAGGAGTTGTGTCCTTATCACAGAGTACCACGAGTTGCATGAGCGAGTGGCCAGCATAGCTGGCAAGGATGCCGATGATCCAGCCACTCCAAATGGAAGGCTGGACTTTGCCATCTCTCAAGGCAATAAAGAGGGTAATGATTTCAAGTATTTCTTTAAATTGAAAAGTTCTAAGCTGGAATGAATCTGTATATTTCTCAGGCCTATTTGAACTACGTCAGCTGGACCCTTGGAATGCCCAGATCTTTGCCAGCAAGAGCCTACGCAGTAGGTTTGGCAACTACAGCTTGACCATAACCACCAGGGACTTGGGTCTACCGGCCAATATAGTCCACAGCATTCTGGACATTTGTGTCTCGGACTTTAATGATCATGCTCCGGTTTTTGTGAGACCTTTGCATAACACCACTGTCCGGATTCCAGAGAATGCCACTGTGGGTACTTTGATATTACAGGCTTATGCCAGTGATGCGGATATGGGCCAGAATGCCTTGGTTAGATATCGCCTTAAACCCGATCCCTTGGGTAGCTACAAGATGTTCGAGGTGAACGGAAATACGGGAGAACTTTACCTGAGAGAGCCCCTGAACCGTGAGAGGCAGAAGATACATGAGGTAAAAAATTAGTTAACTAACAAGAAATTTAAATATAAATAAATAAAATTCCCTTCTAGATTCGCATTGAAGCCTATGACCAAGGACTGCCCACCTCCCTCAGCTCCGACTTGGATCTAACCATCTATGTGCGCAATGTCAACGATTATGAGCCGCAGTTTATAGTCAACGAGATAGCCGTGAACTTCACGGAGCACTCGGATCCTGGCTCTGAAAGGATCAAGCTGCCCGACACCGTGGACAAAGATCAGTTCGATCTGGACGATCCGAACGAATCGCCCAGCCAGGTGTGTTACTTCATAGTGAGTGGCAACGACGCTGGATACTTTCGTCTCGATTCGGAGACACATGTCCTGACCGTAGAACGGGAACTGGACCGCGAGGTGGTGGCCAATTTTACGCTGTACGTAAGGGCCACCGAGAGCTGTGGAAATGAATCCCTAACGGGTGGTGGAAAGCGACGCCGAATGGGCATTGAGATTAATAATAGGCTGGGAGGCTTCCTCCACAACAACTACGATCGCTTCAAGCACTCCCGGCAGCTAAGAGAGTTGTCCAGTAAAGAGGAGTACGACCAGGAGGAAGGAGATACAGATGGGGAGTTGGTGTCCTATGAAAACTACGAAGGCAGTCAGGAGGTAGGATCACCACCAACATTCCCACATCAGACGGAAGCAGACAGCACTATAGTAAAGGTCAAAGTGCGAGTTCTGGATATCAACGATAATCCACCACGCTTCCGCTCCAAAATTTTCACGGGTGGCATCACCACCAATGCGGATTTCGGTTTAAAATTCATGCGTGTGGAGGCCACGGATGCGGATGAGGGGCAGAATGGCAAGATAGGATACTACCAGGTGGGTGATATCCGACAGACTCTGTCCGAAGGACTGGAGAATGTCCGCAAAGCCCCCTTCCTGCTGGATCCGGAGACGGGCGAGGTCCAGTTGAACTTTGATCCGCAAAAGGGAATGAAAGGTTACTTTGACTTTATGGTTCTGGCCAACGACACTCTGGGCATGAGGGATGTGGCCCATGTGTTTATATACCTGCTGAGAGAGGACCAGAAGGTGCGCTTTGTCTTCCGCCTGCAGCCAGATGAGCTGCGAGCCCGGGTGGACACGTTTAGAGAGTGAGTTTACTGTAGAATCCTCTAATTCTAATTTATAATCCTCTTGAATTTGCTTTTCCAGCACTTTGGGCAACATCACGGAATCAATAGTCAACATCGATGAGATTAAGGTGCACGAGAACAAGGATGGTTCGGTGGACAAAACCAAGACGGATCTGTACATGCATCTAGTCGAGCGCGAGGATAACTCTATTTACGAGGTCTCCGAGGTGCTCAAGCTGATTGACTCGCACATTGAAAGTTTGGATGGTCTATTCAAGGACCTCAATGTGCTGGACACTCAGCCGGCGGAGGCCCAGCTCCTAACCGCCGGACCCGCCCGGGGTCCCCTATTTGTGTGGTTGGTTTTTACGAATCTGTTTCTGGCCACTCTTTTGATGGTAACGCTGGCTTTGTGCGCCTCCCAGCGGAATGGCTATCGTAGGCAGCTAAGAGCAGCCAAGGTCAACATATTCCGTGAGTATCTAAAGTTTATTTATTTGTTAAATATATATTATTTCAATTCTCACTCCTAACCAGGTGGTCATTCCTCAATGTCCTTGCAAAATACCCAAGAACCCGCCACTCGTGTGCCAAATACCAACAAGCATAGTGTCCAAGGATCAAACCCCATTTGGCTAAAGGGTTACGAGAATGAGTGGTTTAAAGCCGAAGAGGGCAGGTAAAGTCACTATGTGACTCTTAATAGATTAACAACTTAATAAGAATGTTAAATTCCCAGCACTGGCGGCCCTGACTCACTGGATGACAACTTCTTGGCGGTTGTGGCCACCCAGGATATGCACGAAACCCTCAAGGGCACTGCCAAGCTCTTTAACAACAGCAACGACCTAAACCGCCACTTTAATCTGTACAACCAAATCGACAAGCTCACAAATAATGCTCAGATCCTGGCCCGAAAATTGGAGACCACGGAGTTATAGCACAAAGAGTCCACATTATTTATTATAATTAGACTAGGCCTAGTTTAGGTTAAGAGTTCTTAAGAACCATGTGTAAATAAATCAAAGTGTATAAAGCTCAAAGTGAATATTTATATTTTGAATAGTAAATGGGGTTTGGGATACCAATATCTATCTATATCAAGACATTACTCCTGAAATGAAGGCTAGAACTCACCTGCTAATCAGGTCCTTGATTAGAAAATTGTGGATACACAGGCTTCTGTTCGGGAATGGCAATATAAAAAATACACGTATATATAGAGCACAACTGCGGGGAAAGGCGGGGGATCCGGTTAAGGCCAAGGACGGTGGGAGCTGTTTCACTTACCACGCTTCGGTAGACCCGTGTCGCAGTCACTTAAAACTGCCGAAGACCGATTAAAAATGTACAAAAAATGTGACTAATCGGGGAGACTTGAGCTCTTTAAGACATTTGTATGCATCACAATCGAGGTCAAACGACGGCCGACGACGACGACTCCGAGAACGGGAATGGGGGTAACTCCTACTCACCCACTCGCTCACCTCCGACAATTGGTGGGATGTCCGAATTAGTTGGTGGATGTCTGTCTAATACTCTTGAATGGATGGATAGATAAACTTGAAGGTCGGCGCTAGCCAGCAATTAGATAACTAAAAACAATAATTTGCAAGGTAACCTCTGGGAATTTAAAGCGCGACCGCAAGACGGAACGCACTAAAGGAAACCGGGGACAACTAGGTGATCCTGTCGTTGGTTTCTTAATTGGCGATCTTGGGCCGCGGCTCTTTTTGGTCTTATGTTTTCGTGAGTTGTTCGGAGTTAGTGTCAGTGCAAACAAACTGTTTCCTAGGCGAAAAATTATGTAGGTAACTGAAGCTTCGGGTGAGGCTCTGAGTTTGTTGACGGCGCCTGCCGAGATCCACACGGCACAGCAGATGTGGTGCCAAGAGGGTTGCCCAAAAATTCCCGTGGAGCAATGACAAGGCTGGGTACTTGGTTTGTTTTGTTTTTTTTTACTAAAAATATCGTATTATATATATTTTTGTTGGTTGTTTTCAGGGTAAAATATTCAGTTGTTTGACATAAAATCAATCAATTCAGTTTTCTTTTCTTTCGTTTTTTCTTTTTATTTGTTTTTTTTTGTTTTGTTTTCTTAAATGTATTTTGTTGATTTTTTTGTTTTTTCGTTTATAATAATAATAGTTACACAAATTAGATCACAAAAATGCACGTAAATTACAAAAAAATGAAATGTTACCTCATACCGAAAAAAAAGATAGACAAAACACTCTTCATCTTCATGGTCGAACGAGGCGGAGGAGGAGGCTACTACTGGAGGGATCATCTCTACAGTTCTCTTACAAGGTAAGGTTTTGTGTGTATAAAAAAAGGGGGATTAAAGCATATAATCAAATACATGGTTCCGTACAAAAAACAACACAAATTTTGTTCGCTTTCAGATCAGAGTAATGAGAGTAACTAACTCAAGAACGAATACATACATAGTTAAGTCTAGGCTTTAGAGTTAGAGAGTGAGAGTGTGAGGGAGTTGGTAATCGTATATCATATATTACAGAGTTCCATTATTGGTTAAAATAGTTCTTTCTGCTGCTGCTGCTCTTCGCCCGTGACCGATGCAATGGTGCAGTGGGTGGTGCGTGCCTCAACTTAATGCCAAAAGTCGATGCGTGTCGTGATACATTATACAAATACACATAGTTTATCTAGTTATCTCAGATATTAAACGTTTTTCATTCATTTAATACTTGCTTAGATGCCAAAGTGGTGACGACGGATGAGAAATGAAAACTTACAATGGTTTTTGTGGGTCAAATGAAGGGATGGAATGGTATTGGTTGGGCTTGGGCTTGGGGTCGGGTTTAGAGTGGTTGTTGGTATATATATATATATCGTATTTTAAAGCGTAACAGTTTTCTTGCATGTTGTTTTTGTGTATATATAGTATCTCATTTTATATATATATATATATATATGTATGGTTGTTACATTTCATTGTAAGTTCTATATTTAATATATATATATTTGTTAATTTACAGAACGCAAAAGGTAAAACTCAAGAATTAGAATGGTCGCTCAGCCTAATTTTGCTTTTAAAATTTCGTTAGGCTAAATTAAAATCGAACAAAGTTACCGTTCTATCTTTAATATAATTAACTTAAGTATATAAAATCAAAGTTTACAATTTACATTTAGCTTGTTTTTGATTTATTTTTTTGTTGATTTGTTTTATTTTACTCGTGTTTGTGGGTTGGTTTAAATTAAAGCTTACTCTTTAAAGTATGTGTACAGAAATATATATATATATATATATATAGGTAGTATTATGTATATATATATAGTTATATTTTATATATATAAGTTGTATATATATTTAGTAATACGATTCGCGGTTTCAAACTAGTCCCTTGTACGTTGTATGTTGTGTGAAGTGTGTTGGAGTGTGTTGTGTGGGGTGTGTTTAGTGTGTTTGGTGAGTGTTGGTGTAGTTGTAGTTATGTGTGGTGTGTTGGTGTATTGTGTAACTCAAGAAATTAAACAAAACTAAAATTCTTCTGCTGCCTTGCTGGTTTTTGTTTAGCTTTTTCTAGTGTTTTTAATTGATTGCAATTCTTTTTTTTTTTTTTTTTGGCTGTGTATAGTGTGTATTGTTGTAGTTCTTGTTGTAAATGCGCGCTCACAAAATGTTGAAACAAAATTCTAGGCTTGCTTTTTAAGGCTTTCAACAAACTCTTGTCAATGTTTTGGCGTTCGTGTGCCTTTACTTTTACTTCAGAAGTTTAAATTTGTTACTAGGTTTCCTACTATTTCGGTTTTCTGCCTTTTATTTTCATATATATACTATTTCTCGTTTATTTATAGGTTTAATAAAGCTGCTCTCTACACAATCCTCTGTTGTTGGTTCACTAACAAATTAAATTACTTTAAGAGAATAATGCAATTCTACAGTTTCCCGCGAATTTACATAATTATGTTTCTTATACACTCCGTAATTCTCTTCATTTAATTTGAATTAATTTTATATATTTTTGGACATTTTTTTTTTAGATTTTTTTGTATAAGTTTTGTGTATTTTTTTTCTGTTTGTTTAAATTTTTACAGTAACGCATATTTATATGAATTTCTGAATAATTTATAAAGCAACAAATTGTGCCGAAACAGATTTAAAAAAATTGAGAAATTTATCAAAAATTTGTCCGAAATTTATAATGAAAAATATTGAAAATATCTTGGCGAAAGCTGCTGCTGCTGCTTAGAAGTAAAACTGTGTAGTAGCTTTGAAAATCTCTTGTCTCTCTTGAAAGTATCGATTCAGCCTGACGCATTCCGACGAATTAGGTCTGTAGCACCAGGCCCCGGATGTCGGAGGAGGCGCCATTACTGCTGCTGTTGCCGCCGCCGCTGCTGCTGTCCACGAACAGGGTGGCTGCATCAATGCCCGACGTGTTCGGCGAGTGCATCACTGCGTCCGCCAGCAGATCATCGCTTACGTCAAGGAAATCGTTAAGGAAATCCGCACTGTCCGCCGAACCGCCGATCGTCTGCTGCAGACACTTAAGGTTCTTATCGGCAATCTCCAGCGCCCGGTCCATGGCCTCGCACTCGGCTTGTTGCACTGCAGCGGCAGAATCCAAGGCGAGGGCAATGGCAGCGACAGGAATAACAGCGACAGCCACAGCGGAGGCACACATGGGATTAGTACAATGAAAAGCTGAACAAGTAAAATTTTGGTTAAGGCATACACACCGGATTGGAACAGCTCGTTGAAGGCATCGTCCGGCAGCGTGTCGAACACATTTACCAGATCGTGCTCTTCCAGCAAGTGGGCACCGTTCAATGCTATATCATCTGGAAATGGAAAAACGATCATTAGAATTTTGTTTAGCTTTCTTATCCCTCTAGACCACACAATCTACACCCCAAATTGAAACTTACCAGCATCGTGAGCGCCCGCCATTAGCTCCGACTCGCTGATTCCACCCAGACCCGTGTCCTCGGAACTGGCGTATGCTGAGCTATTCTCACAGATTCCAAACATATCCTGGCCGAGCAGATCTGCGGTGTTGGCCAGGATAGCAGGTGTAGCTGGAGTAACAGCTGGACCGTTGTGCGTGATTGTTGTTGTTACTCCTCCTGTTGTTGTAGTTATGGGTTGACCCATGGCATTGCCAAAGGCCGTGTTGAATGACGGGAAACTGTGCTGGTTATTATTGTTGCTATAGTTTATATTGTTGTTGTTGTTATTGTTGAAGTGCACGATATTATTGTTGGTATTATTATGATTGTGATTGCTGCTATTATTGTTGTTGTTGTGGTGCTGCAAGTCCCCACCAGCAGCCGCCAATTGGGCCACAATTTGGCTAATCTCTTCGGCCTTAATATCCAAATGTTGCTGCTGCTGGTGGTCACTGAACAGTGGCAACTCCTCTGCCTCCAATTTGGGCACCAAGAGCGGTTGCTGCGGCGGCTGCTGCTGCTGTTGCTGCTTGGGCTGATAATCCCCACTTAGCGGAGCCAAAGCCGGCAGTATGGACATGGTCTGCGTTGCGGGCGTGTACGGCAACACTTGGGAATGCGAGGCGGCCGAGGAGTGCGAGTTGCTGGCTATGGACTCCAGCGAGGTGGTGCTGCTCTTGCGCTGCATTCCCATTCCTGCTGTCGGTATAGGCGGCAGATTGGTGATGCTGATCTGCTGCTCCCCGCCTGCCTGTTTCCTTCCCCGTTTCTGTGGACGCACCACCGGATTTGGATTGGCCTTGCGTTTGCGCTGCTTTACGGGCACACACATCGTCACAGCTCCAGCCACGGATGTTGCATTCTTTGGCGGTGGACGAGCAGCATCCAGGCCGGCACGCAGGTGACTGTGCACCGTGCACAAGGCCAGCGTGTGCAAGACATCGAAGACGGGAGCCTGACAGGCGGTTCCATCCATTCGCCAGGCCACGCAGGGCTGGAACAGTTGCTGGGTGCTGTTGTTCACAATGTGGCGATCGCAGTGAGCCGCCATGCTTAGCGTTGGCAATTTGCAGTTGGCCACCAGACAGCGATTGCCAATGCCACTGAAAAATAATAATAATTAATTAATATTAGTTAATAATAACAAGTAATAATGATCAACTTACATGCCCTGCTGCTGACCGGCATGATCCTGGTACTTTAGCAGCATATTTTGGACGCACTGCAACCGCTGTCTGGCCGCCCGCATGGGCAGATCTTGCAGCGAACGTGTGGACAGCAGCTGCAGGGCCTGACGTCGCAAGAGTCCTTTCCGCATCGCGATCCTTTCTTCCCGCCGATTGCTTGGGGAAAGCGGCGTCTCCAAAGACAGATCCCGGCCGGAAGTGGAATGCAGCCAGTGCTGCTGCAAGCAGTAGGGCGAGTCCGAAGGAAAGGTCTCGTTTTCACTTAGGGTCACCGAGCTGCAGCGTTTGGAGGCGGTCTTGCGGCGACGCTGGCGATGCGCAGCGGGCTCCGACTTAATGGGCAACGGAGGTGGCGATGTAGCAATCGGTTCCTGGGGCGGCGGCGGTGGCATCGTCGCAGTAGTTGGCAATTTCTTAGCTGCAATGTTGTTGTTGTTGTTGTTATTGCCTCTCCTGGCGGCCGCTTTGGAAGACATTTGTTCATTTTTATTGGCTGCTAATGTGGCGGGTGGTGTTGCTGTGAGTGATGGTGCTTGCAGTGCGCTGGAAGGCGGTGACAAAACAACTTCAGAGCTGCTGGGCTTAGCTGGCGGGGAAACCACCTTGAGCCCTTTGTTGCTGGGAACAGTCAGAGCCGGAACACAAGCTGTGGGATGCATGTGTGCTAGCAAAGGGGGAGCCAACATATCCGGCGGTGTGGGCGGAGTCAGAGGCGTCACCAACTTAACACCCGTTGTTCCATCGATTGCATTACCTCCTCCTGCCGCCACTGATGGCATGCGGAAGATAACGTTGACGGGAATCTCATTGAGATCGCCAGTGTTGCCGGAGGAATGTTTCTGTGGTGGTGGTGGTGGTGTTGCCACTGTTGATGTATTGAACACTGTCAGTGGTGGCGGCTGCGTTTGATTGAAGTTCGTGCCCTGCGCCATCACTGGTTTGTTCAGTGATTCCACTATATTGTTGTTGTTGTTATTCAGCATCTTGATGTTGTTGTTGTTTTGGCTAGCCAACGGCAAGGATTTCTTTTTCTTTAAGCACTCCACCTTCTGCAAGTGCTGCGCCAACGTAGTATGATGGAATTTTGACGGTGGCAATGGCAAGCCACCCTTGGGCGAGACAGAGATCGGCGCCACCATGGCAGTCACAGCAGCGGTGGCTGGTGGTAATGTGGGCGAGGTTAACGAGGCGGGCGATGTGGGCGGACTGACCAGCGAAATGGCAATTGACTGCTGCTGTTGTTGCTGCTGCTGCTGCTGCTGGAGAGCTAGCTGTTGCTGGAGGTGCTGTTGTTGTAGAAGATGCTGCTTTTGCTGTTGCTGCTGCTGGACAATTTGTTGTTGCTGCTGCTGCTTGTTCTGTTGCAGTTGCTGTAACTGTTTCTGCTGCGACTGCTTCTGCTGCTTAGGCTGCTGCGGCTGCGTTTGCTTTTGGCCATTGTCCAGCAGCAGCGGCGTCTGCCACAGCGACGGCGTATGGGAATAGAGCGGCGGTGGTGGTGGTGTGACAACCGTTGGCTGGCGATACTCCTTCTCCTGCTGCTGCGGGCGGACTATGCACACGTTAGTGGCCCGCTTCGGCGATGCCTGCGACGGTTGGGACTGTGACTGCAAGCTTTGCAGCGGCAGTTGCAACTGCAGCATTGGCGACAAAGCGGACTGTCTCTGAGATTGCGTGACATGATGGAAATTCGTTGTGGTTGTGTGAGTCGCCAAAGACGCCTGCGCCTTCGCGGTGGCTGCTGCAGCTGCTGTGGCGTTCAGTTGGAGCACCAGACTCGCCTTCCTGCTGGCCGCAGCTGCTGACGCCGACTGCCTCTTGTTGCTGCTGCTGCTGTTGTTGCTTCTGCTGCTGCTGTCGCTTAAGCGGGCTCGCGATTTCTGAAAAAAGGTAAAGGAAGACAAATATATATTAAAAAGAGTTTATCATAGGTATGGTATTAGATAATTTTAAATAGTGGGAACTGTATATAATTCTTGAAGTTAGCGAACATTCAATTAAACAGGACTCCACTTTCGAGCTCTTATTTATGTTTAATGTTTAAAGATCGTCTTCTTACCTGTGCATTGAATAAAATGGGTGGTGCGACTGCCACGGTCTCTGTGAAGGCATAGGGATCCGTGTCCTCGGACGTCGTCTTGGCGGCGGCAATGCTCTCCACTGGCGTCAGTGTTACTGCCGCAGTAGCTGCTGTTGCGGATGTTGCTTTTGCGACTGCTGCTGCGGTTATCGCAGTGGCGGCTGTTGCTGTTGTTGCGGCTGCTGCTACTGCTGCTGCGGTGGCAATTCTCCTGCTGGCTGCTGTGCTTTTAGCTAATGTGGCTGCTTGGAATCTGGAGACTTGCTGACATGACATGTCCAATGTGAAGCCGTTGCCGTTGACGCTTTTGCTTTTTCCCCTGCTTTTGCTGTTCCTTGTTCCTTTCTGTTGCTGCTGGGGTGTTCCTGTTGTTGCTCTTGATCTTCGTCTCCTCTTTAATCTGTAATTGAAAAAGGAAAATCAATAAATTTAAAGTTCACAAGGGAGACAGACGTCATAAATGGGCGTTGTCACGTGCTCTCTGCCAAAATGCATTCGCATACCCACACACACTCGCATACTGGCAGTCTCGCTCTCACATTTACGCTCTCACTCTGGCACACAACGAATGCGATAATAAAAACAAACTACAATCAAAATAAATAAATCTGCTCGCCCGAAACCAGTTCAAGTGAATCGTTCGTTGCTTTCTTTCTGCTTCGTCTCTTTCCTCTTTCTTCTGTCACCTCCCCTCCCCTTCCCACCGCTGATTTCATTTCTTTTCTGCTTTGCGCTTGGCACCGCCGCCGTTAATAACAAATGCTGATAGCGCAGCAAAATGGCAATTATTAAAAATAATAAAACCAGACACACAATCGCCTGAAAATAAATACACTTGCCAGCGAATTTATAGATAATCATAAAATATACAATTTTTTTTGGCAATTATTTGCCATTTATTTTTCAGAATTTATTCCACTAAAATTATAGCATTAAAATGTATTTCATAGATATCTTAATTTTTGACAAATAATATTTATAAAATATTAAATAATTTCTTAATTTAACTGCTTTTGTTAAATTTATTACAATTTATTGGCCCTTCAACTAATTTGTTTAATTGATGATTAATTATGTAGGTTTCTTGCTGTAAAATATTTATAAAAGTAAGTGGATAAATCTATCTATATAAATAAAATTCGGTAATTTTTAACTAAAAATTAAATCTTTTGAATATTGTTATTTGAAATTCTTGAGAGTTCTGATTGCAACCTTACAATCACTACAATTCTTTATTTCATTGATTGGACTTTTTGAAGTGCAATATTTTATTTTTGTTAGCATGAAATGATAATTATTCAATTTCGATTTCAATTTCGACTGTAAACATTTATTTTGAACTTTGTGCTAAAACACAAGAACAATTACCTTTAATAGTTACGCAATCTAAGTAATTAATGGAAATCGATCGCAGGTGCTATTATTCTGTCCGCAGCTGTTGCGCTGGCCAAGCGGCACGAAAAAAGTTCGCACAAATTTGCATGCTAAGTAAATCAAAGAATCACGTTTGTGTGCACACAAACAAAAACAAAATCAACTGCGTAGGAATACTATAATCTTATTGAACTTAGCGAAACGGCAATTATTGGGGCAGACAATGCAAAAAAAAAAGCAAAAAAAAAAGAGTGTAGCGGAGAAACAGCAAAGATAAGCGCAAAACGGGGCCGAATTGCTGGACTTTCCAAGCAAATCTCCGAAGAAATGGAGAAATTCTAGGGGAATGATTCGGTACAATTTGCACCCAACAGCACTGTGAGGAAAAATCAGAGAAAAGGAGGGAAAAAACACATTTCCGCTCCGTGTGTGCTCATTGTTTTCTTTGAGTTTACAGCTTTTGATTAGTTTCGCACATATTGATTTCCATTTTCAGCCATGATTATGTATACGTACAATATAGTAGAGCCGGGGAGGGGAACAAGTTATCCAACTTATCGCTTAGAGTGGAATGGAAAATGCTTCTTTGTTTGTTTATGATTTCTTTACGTTTTCTGAGAAAAAAGGAAATGACTTTGAAAGCATTTGCAAGTTCCCTTCGCCGCACAAAAAGAGCCGTCCCCTTATTACCGCCTCTGTACCCGCACTTGCTTCTACAGTTTCCTCATTTTCCTTGACTTCCTCCCGCCACACCCCATTTTCCCGCACTTTTCCGCATCCACTAACGCATTCAAGACGACTCCTGGCGTGTACGTGTGAGTGCAGCAGTGTACGTGACACTTTTGTTTATGATTTTTATTTTTACTCATTCATCCGTCGAACCAAGGGGAGACATTGAATATCTTTAAGGTTAAAGCCTACACCCTGAGAAATAGGATCTTGAAAAGACCATCTCAATTGCAAAATAACATGGTTACTTGTATTCAAAAAGCTAGAACTGGTTGGGAATTTCAGCTTCATTGAGATCTTGAAAGATAATTAATATTTTGCTTAATATAAACAACTTTATAATAATTGCTAAATTTTGTCTAAATCTTGGTACCTTTCTTTTAGTCAAGTGTACCGGAATACGCATGAAAAATAAATCAAACAACTTGAAGTAAAGGTTTTTGATCTTAAGCTCACAGACGAATACGAAGTCCAAGATTTTAGCGTACAAACAAAATAAAAAAAATTAAAAAATAAAAATACAAAGAGAGAGACAAGGAGGAAACCGCACAAAAGCAAACTGTCGATAATTGCAAATAATGACGATGCTGGGAATTTGTTATTGTTTGCTGTTGCTGCGACGGCAGTCTGTAGTATAGTAGTATTTGTTGTTCTTGCCAACGATCTCCGCGCAGCAAGTCGTCTTTGCTTTTTGGCCATTTTAGGTCTTAAATGTTAACTCGTTTTTTTGGTCCAACTTGGAAACACGCTCGAATGATAAGAAGAGGAGACAAGAAGACAAACGAGAAAACAAGAAAAGCCAAAGAACCGACAAAAGAAAAAAGGCGAGACAAAAGAAGTCAAAGCTGCAAGAAGACAAGCCATCGAACCTGAACGAAAAAAGAAACACAAGCTGGTAGAAACCTTACAAATCCGCTGGATGCTGAGAAGCCACCGAGATCAGTGATCTTTAGATGCTTAATTTTTAATGTATAAACTTTAAACCAAACGAAGAGCGGTGACTAGGAAGCAAAATCTACAAGCTTAAATCAAAATAAGACTTGATAGACTTACTACAGATGGGGGACCATGGCAAATTAGTTTTTGTAATTGCTTTTTATTGCAGCATTAATGGAGCAATTTACAGAATTGGGAATGGCATTTGGCTACAACTTTGTTTGGGAAACCATTTGTATTGCAGATACCTTAATTGTCAATCAAATGTCTTGGGTTTTAAGACAAATAAGATTGATTTTGAAGAGCAAGACGGTTTATACTCGATAGAGAAGTCCAAAATATATGATTGACTTCTAAATCGATGACCAATTTGTATGTTGAATTGCTTTTTTTTTTGCAACCTTTTAGGAATAGCATTAAAATAAAACTTTATTTAATGGCAAAACTGAGACCAGTGGATCTTTCAGATACTTAATTGTCACTCAAATGTCTCAAGATATTACTACTTTGGCAGAGTCCTACGAAAGGAAAGGAACATTAATAAAATACTTTGGAAAATTGAATATCGTATTAAACAATCTATCTTTAGATACCTAATTGCCAATCAATTGCCCCAACTTTAAACAAAAAAAAAAAAGACTGATTTGGCAGGGTAAAGAAGAGTACATAAAAGAAGGAATAATATATGATTGACCAATGGCATCAGGGCTAATGACTATTGATTTTCTATATTGGGAAGCGCTTTGTTACAAGTACTTCAATATTAATGGAACCATTGAAACCACGAAAGGGGCTTAAATTGTTTCAAATCATCGGTAAAGAAAAACAACAATCACAAATAACGTAGCAATGATTTCTATTACATTAAGAGCCTAAGCTTCTAATCGAAATTTAATTGATAAACTAATTAAGAATAAATATTGGTCAACATTTTTGTATACGTGACTGAGTGCAGTTTCTTTTAAATTCAAACTTTGAGTGTACTATGTACAATGAAAGTAGCGAAATTCTATCGAAATTCTAATTTAAGCAACCAGTTTAAAACAAACAATGAATAAATAAATACTTGAATCATGCCTAAGTTTAGATTCTTTCATTATAAAGACTTTAAATTAAATGCCGACTTGCTTTGAAACACACAAGCACTAGAATAATAGATCATGTTTATGGATTTCCAAGGCGATTACTCTACCAGTGCTCTAACATTAATGGAACATTTTTGAGCAGAACGCTGGTAGAGCTGCAAAGAAAAGCCTCGAGGAAAACGCATGTCGTGGAACACGAAGGTTGAATGGCTCAAGAAACCGCCGTGTTCAAAGGTCTGAGTCTGATTCAGCTTCGCTGGCTAAACGAGCTGCGGACAGATGGATGGCTACGCCAGGTAAGGCAAGAGACCAGGTAGCAGCCAGGCAGGCAGAAAGCCGGTCGAGAGGTTAATTACGAGAGCAAAGCGTTTGCAGCGTTACGCTCGCTGGGCTACGGCTCAACATGAAAACACAAGAACTGGAAAACATACAACTACCAGTTGAACGAACAGTTTGCAACATGCTGGCTGGTGAGGAAAATAAACCAGGTATTAATTTGCAGCACACATTTGTTCATATCGGGGCACAACACCTCATTTTCACAGCAGAACGCCCTTTCTGTAAGGTTTTCTTTTGCTACAAATCGTCGTAATTCTAAGGAATTTAAAACGAATTTTCAGAACTCTGGTGAAACACTGACACTTGAAACTGTAAACTTTAGATAGGCTTAAATTCTCTTTAAATAAATAGTATAGAACTTCAATAAAAATCACAAAAATTATCGTGTAATCTAATCCTAAACAACATTTGAAGAGTTTATTTAAACCAACTTTTGTGTTCCATGCCTAACAATATCAAATTGTTATCAGTACTTCAAAGATATGATATAGATAGTGCCAACCTATTAAGCTACTATCATCTGATTTATAAGCTTCTTGTGAAATTATATAGTTTATATATCAAGTAAACTAAACCAATATTCACATTTGAATGCTTTGAAATATTAAAACTAAGCAGATCTTATCCGTAGACACATCTAAATGACAACTTCGTCACTACTATTTAAAAGATATCAAGGCGATATGGTTAACACTTCCCTCTGATCAAAATGTTTTGATTTTTAAATTAAATTTCATATAAAAATGATTCAGCATCAAGGTATCAAATTGATAAGATAACGATAATTTGTAAGGTAAGCAAAAGTAATGTCTAAATATAGAGATGACTCTCTCAGACTTATGCTGTAGTTTATATTGGCTCTGCGATAAGACGGAGATATATAGGTATAAAAAAAAGATGGTAAGCTGTATTTTTGTCGACATTGACGCACTGAACTGAAATTGCATTTAAATGCACATTACAGGAAAGCGGCGGCAAAGGCAAACCCGTTTGCTGCTGCTGTGGCTGCGGCTGCTGCTTCCTTCATAACCGGAAACTGAAGGCTAAATTGTGCAAAAGCAAAATAAGCGCAAAAATAAAAGAGAGGAGAAAAACAATATCACATAATGACGACATAGGGGAAGGTGAGGCAGCAAAGGCAGCTGGAGATTCGGGATGGAGATGGCGATGGAGAGGTAAAAGCCAAGAGGCGGCAGGAGCCAAGAGTCGAGAGGCAAAAGCCAGACATGCGGTTCAGTTTGTTCAGCCAGGCAGCGAAGCCAAACGAACTCCGTTCCATCTGCAGTTCAGCTCGGCTCCACTTGGCCACTTTTGCACCGCATCGCACGTAGGCCCGTCCACTTCCCACAGTAGAGGCTCCACAGCTCCAGCTACAGTGGACACTGCCTATGGGGATAACCCTAACCGCTGGAATGCTGCCAAAAAAGGGTGACTTCAGTCTCTGGAGGTTTTTTAACGGCACAAACAAACCCGGCAAGAGGCATGAGTCATGCAACTTCACTTGGGGTTTCACAATTCGCAGATTTTGTGTCTCAGTTTTCTTGAACTTGCTTTTGTTACCAAAAACTAATTAACATTTATGCAGGTTATTTAAGCCAAGCACATATGAGTCATTGAGACCAGGGACAGACTGCCTTTTTTTTTGTGAAAATTCTTGCAGATTGTATGATATTTAAACCGCAAACTATATTTTTATATTTAACTTGTCGGTTAGCATCAATTAGTTAACGCTTGAGTGTGTCGGGTATAAACTTTCTATTTAAATATTTAAAGAAAATATATGTTTTCAATAAATTAAAGTTTAAACACAAGAAAAAACACAAATTCAAAAACTATTATCTTGCAGATCATTTTTTAAACTGCTGGTTAAACTTGCGGTTAAATTTTCCACATTTCTTAATGGTAATAAATTAATAAATATAAAATATACTTAGTAATATCACCAGAGCGCTAATTGCAGATTCATTACATATTGAACACTTAATTTGAGTTAAACACACTAAAATTACGATAAATAAACGTTTATCTCCGTTATTTGTAATTGTGTAATTTAAATGCAAAATCCGTAGAACTTGGTGAAACCGATAACTGGGTTTTGAATTAAAAAACTTCCGCTTCTCTTGCATTTTTTTTTAGTTTTGTTAAGCCAACCACAAAGTATAATTATTTGGCGTTTCCAAGCGCATTAAATAAAACCAGACCGCGTTCGTTCACAAAATAAAATAGCCAAGGTTTACAATCACTATTTTAGTCAGCTTTTTCGGTTTTTTAATTAAAGTGTATGAATTTTTGGTTGTTGATTTTAGTGAGCGGCAGCTGTTGCTGGCGGGGAACAACACACACATCTGTTCCGTTAAAGCCAAGTTAACTCCAGTTAACGATTGTCTTGGTTTCTCACGGAATTTTTACTGCAAGATTTTTGGCAATATATGTAAGCACACACTCACACACCCGGAGATCTTCACGGTGATTAAGAATAACGGTGATGTGGGGGAATGAAGAGCGGGAGAGAGGCACTCCCACACACATCTGTCGCCAGCTAACACATATACACACACAGACATGGGGCAATAAACAAATCCACAAAACTAAACAAAACAAATTACGAATTCCGTGTAAATGAACTTTGGTGGGGAGCGCGTTTTGAATTTCTTTTTGCGTTTTGTTTGTCATCCGCTGTGAAGGGGCTTGTATGGAGAGCGGAGGGCACTCGAGAATCGCTGTTGCCGGCGTTTTTATGATTTCTCTTCTTCCCGTTCCGTTTCTTTCTTTTTTCGCCCTCGCCCTTTTTTCTGCCTCTCTTTTGGCGGCCTCTTCGCTTCCTTCCCCCATGGCCCCCTCCCCACACACACACACACTGACAGACACAGCCCAACAGACACTGCACATACAGGGTCGAATTTGTTACTGCGATTAAGTTATTCGACGCCTGCTTTTGTTTGCCGCTTTTACAGCTTCTTGATTGCTGTGTTTTTTCTTTATATTTTTTTGATTTTAGGACTTCTGCTTTGGTGCTTCGATGCAAAACAAGAATGCGTCACGGGCCGCAATCAGCTCACTCACACACTTGCCAAGGCGGGGACACACTCACTGCACACACCCGCACATAAACCGAGAGAGCGACGAGAGCGAGAAAATTTACCCAACCGTCTGATGACGACTCCAACGTCAAAGTGGCGCCGCGCACCGTACTTTTTCCGAGTACCCTTCCCACGGACAGGGTTGCCGCCTCACACGAAGTCGGACGGTCAGAAAACGAAGGCCAAATAAAGCACCAAAAATAAAACGTAACTCATGCTCGGCCATGCCAAATAATTAATTAAACAATTTCGCCTGAAATTGATCATAGCTACACAAAATTTCATTGAATTATGCGATTTAAACGAAATATCCATGGGTGCCTCGGCAACCCTGGCCCGCCTCTCACACACACAATTACACCAGCACAGACCTGGGAATTTTCTGCTGCAAAATTTTTTTCTTCGCACCACAAGTCCACTTTCAAATGCAGTTTTCACCCCTAATTCTTTAAGTTTCGGCCTCAAGACGAACTCCCGGCTGTGGGTGAATGTGTTTTGCAGCACTTTCAGGTGTTTCTAGGCATAAAAACTGCGTTTAAAGATTACAAATGATTTTCGCAGTTGGTGGCTTGAGTGTGACCGAAGTTTCGCTGAAAACGGCAAAACTGCGCGCTTTTGCGGCGTCTGGGCACACTCAAACGCGAAACCCTTCAGATCGCACGATCTGGCAACTCTGGTAACTGGGACCGAAAAGTCTGGCAACTCTGGTGGCTATGAACTTCTGCCAGTGCTGGTAAACGTCTTCCAAGAACTGGTTCTATTTTCTAAACTAGAGCGCGCTTTTGAAAATATATCTTGTACATATTAATATTTTGTTTTAATTTCGAAGAATAATAATTAAAGAAGAGTGAGCGAGTGAAGCGAGCTCAAAGAACTTAAATATAAATCACCCAAAAAACCACAATTCCAACTTGGTAGTTATTATTAGTTTATTTAATGTTTGTCTTTGATGCATTACAAATTATCAATATTGGATATTTCAGATAGTTTTCCTCTGTAGCAGCCGGTGTTCTTGTGTTGCCTTTGGATTTCGTGTGTGTGTTCTTGTGGTGGACTCTGTGCAAATTAAAGATATTATCCAGTAATACTTAATATTTATAATGTTTCAGCATTTCGAGCAGTAGTAGGTTTTAATCGAATTCTATCTTAAGTGATTTAATGTTGCGCCCAACGTTAGTTAATATTCCTTTAATTGTTCTATTCTTGTTCTATTTTACGGTATAAAGTTGGTTTAGCTAGCTAAAAAACACATGTACAGTCGCATATAGGTAATATGTATATATTATTTAATTATCTTGAAAATTATGCTTTTGTTTGGCGTTATTTTTCAAATAACATTTTTTGTTGTTAAGAAAAAATACAAGTTTAGGCATAGGGCGTATATTACAATCGTGTTTATTGGCCATTTTTGGGAAGATTCTTACGAGGAAAATTAAATTGTGCTCTTAATCAAGTAAACAAAATATATAGAACTAATATAAGCTTGCAGAAAGTTGTTCTTAAACTGGTTTCGTGTATATCGTTTTGATTTAATTTGCACTAGATATACATATGTTCGGTTTTCTCATAGATTTAAATGCAGTTATTGATATCGGTTAGTGTTAGTGGGAGTTCTATTAACTTTGCAGCGCTCTTGAGTGTATATATGAGTATTCTATATTGGTATCTGTATTTTTAAATTTATTTATGCATTAGTTGTATACTCTTGTGTATTTTTATGGACGTCTGATAACTATTTGCCTTGAAATTATAGTGTAAGGTGCTCGAAACTTAGTCAGAAGATAGCGCAAGATACAAACTGATGCTCGTTGTAAATAGATTTTAAACTCGTAAAATTTGTTAGATTTGCATTTAGCTTGCGTTGTTTCGTTTTCGTTATCGTTTTCATATTCGATTCGGACTTATAGCTAGGTGGTTTTCCCTTTCGAAATTGGATTTCAATGCTCGCGTCCTAGAGCAGGCCTGCGCTCTAACGGTAAATTAGTGCTGGATCGGAAAACGGGCCTTCCCCGCTCCGATACGCCAGACTTCGACTAGAGTAATAGACTAAATTTAACAATTCCTTTGGGGGCATCAGAGACTACAGCTAGGAATGGGCTTTTGTGTTTTGTTTTTTTGAGAGCAAGAACTCGAGACGATCCAAATATCGGTGAAGTGACCTCTTATCCTAACTCATATTTGTTTCGTTTCGAGTTCCTGTGTTAGATTAAGGTGCTTATATGGTCCACACCTGGACCTTTTCGGCCACCACACACCAGCTGGCCCGCTCGTAGTAGGAACTAACGATATGCAGGCTAGCCACATGGTGGTTGATCAGCGCGTCCAGCTCGCCCTCGCGGAATACATGGTAGTAGCGGTGATGGGTACTGGCACCACCCTGGGAGGGACTGTCCAGGGAGTTGGTGGAGCTGTTCGAGTGCTCCAGGGAGTCGCTTGAGGGTCGCTGCTGCAGGTTTGGGGGCTGTTGCTGCTCCTGCTGCAGGAGCTGGTGTTGCTGCTGTTGCTGTTGCTGCTGCTGAGTGGCAGGAGTCTGTACCTTCAGGGCGGCCATGTTGCGCCTGCGCTGGCCGTAGTCTGCCATACCCTCGCCCAGCTGATCACCACCGCTGGCCTCCAGGGCCTCAGCCTCGGCATCAGCATCCTGCTCCTCCTGCTCTTCCTCCTCGGGTATGGCATCATCCTCGTCCTCTCTGACATCACTGTCCCCATCGTCCTGCAGGAGGTAAGCCGTCTCTGGATTTAGCTGATAGTGCCGGTTCCTCTTGTAGCTAAACTTGGAGATCTTGCAGTGCTCGTAGACGCCCAGCGAATAGCTAGACTCGTTCTCTTCTTCCTCCTCCTCCTCGCCATCCTCCTCCTGGATGGTGAAGCTGCGGGTTTGCGAGGACAGCGACGAGGTGGAGGAGCTGACAGGAGACTGCTGTAGGCTCGGTTGAGTTGAGAGATTGGCCAACATTAGGCGACGTTCCCGAAGTTCATCACGAAAAGAACTCAGATCGCCGTTGGAGCGCTTCTTGCTGCCTCCTAGAATATCGGACAGATCTCCCATTCCAATACCATCCAGGTAGCGACACTCCGTGCGGCTGCTCTTGTCCTCCAGTTCCCTCTGCAGTTGGGCGGTGAGCTGCTCCGCAAACTCCGCACAGTCCTGCTTCTGGATCGACTCCCTTTTCTCGGGCAGCAGGGTAGCGCTGTCCGCATTCAGGATTATATCATCCTCCGCCTGGGATCGAGAGCTGTTGATCTGCAGCTCACCCTTGTGGTACTGCTCCTGTTGCCGGCTAATCATCTGCGCCAAGCTGGGCTCGCCCTCGTCCTGGGAAGCCGAATTGGAATTGGCTGAAGCTGCTCCGCCCTCATCGCTGCCCGAGGGTAACTTTGCTGATCTCGGGGCACTGATAACACTGTCAATGGAGTCTGGCGACGAGGGCTCACTGGAGTCGCTGTCCAGGTCATCGGTAGCCGGATTAAAAAGCTCCAGGGAAAGCAGCTTGCTGGCCAGCGAAGTGGTGGATGCAGAAGTAGATACTCCCGAGCCCGAGGCCCTCCGGACGATGGGGAAACTCTGGCGTTGCAGCTGCAGGGATTGCTGTTTGCGGAACTTGGGAATAGGGGGCAGATCCCTAATGGCTTGGCGGGTTATCCGGCGAACAGGAGGGGATTCCTTGAGTGAGTCCTTCGAGCTCTCCTTCAGCGACTGCGGCTCCTTCACCTCCTTTGGCTGCTCCTTGTGAAGCTCCTTCTGCTGCTCCCTTTGCTGCTCCTTCTGCTGCTTGATGTGAGCCTCGTCGAAGCTGAACCTAGCCGGCTTCGAGGGGGGAGTCAGGATGGCCATGACCGCGGAAACAGCAGCCGTGGACTGCGGCGGAGAGGTGACATTGCCCTGGATGGCTGCCGGCGAGTGGGCCGGCGTTGGCGGACAGGGCATGATCAGCGGGGACGTTGGCACTGAGTGAGTGGGTGGCAGCCGGGAACCGGGATTCACGCCCTGCTCCCGGCCAGCGGCTCCTTGGGCCCGCTGCCCGTTGCTGGACGAGGAGTTGCTCGAGCTGGAGTTGGAGTTGTGGTGCTGCTGCTGATAGTTCAGCTGCTGCTGGTGCTGCTCCGGCTTCGGTATGAATATAACCGAGGCGAAGCTGTCCTCGGACTCGATGCTGGTGTCCGACTGCAGGCTGCTGTCCTTGGAGGAGTCTGACCCAGACTCCCGGGAGTGCCGTCGGGCCTTGTCCCCCTGGCCGCCATCCGCGCAGGCGGGACACTCTTGCTGGTACTGGCTGCAGTGGCAGAGGTTGCCCATGGTGCATTCCACGCTGCTGCAGTACGTCACAGGGCCCGTTGCGGAAGCAGCGGAAGCGGGCAGAGGGATCAAGTGGGACAGATGATGGCCGGCGTGGTGGTGATGATGATGATGGTGCTGGTGGGGTACTAGAGTCACTCCCTGCTTGTTGTTGTTATTCAGCGTGGGACTCTTGTCCGCCGGAGCCGGGTTCTGTGGGGGATTCGCTGGCATCTGCGGGCCACTCTTGATGTTTTGAATCAGCTTGCTTATGCCCGTCTTCGTGACCCGTTCCAGGCTGCCCGTGGAGCTCTTAATCTTCGTGGTGAAGCCCTCGCGTATCACCTGAAGCCTCTTGGAGAACAAGGCCGACCGGCAGAGGAAAGCCTCGTTCAGGGAGGTTTGTTTCTGGATGCGCTTTCGCACGCGCTCCTTCTCCCGCAGTCGATTGCAAGCCATTAGCTCCTCGTTCAGGGAGCTCTGTTTGCGCAGGAACGCACTGTTTCCCGGGGCTGCTCCACCAGCTGTTGCTGCCCCCGAAGGCGGCGTGGCCACCGTAGAGGAGGAGTTCGAGGAGGACGGGTGCTGGTGGAAGTTACCGGCATAGCAGCCACTCCTCGTATACAGGCTGCTGCTCACCCCGCCGTTGGAGCCATTGTAGATGCTTAGCATCTGGAAGGTTTCGGGGGCAGAGGGCGTGGCAGAGTCATCCTCGCACAGGGACTGCTTCTGCTTGATGAGCTTGGGCCGGCGACTGAGGGTGTTCCCAGCACTGGCTGTCGTGGGCGGTGAGTGTCGTCCCCCGTTCATATGGAGTTGCTGACCCTCGGGAGCATTCAGGAGCATAGCTGCCGCTGTGGCCTTCGATTCGCCGGGAATCAGAGGACCTCCCAGGCTGGGGACACTGGAACGCGAGCGTACGATCTGGCGAGGTGGGGGCTGGAGAATGCTGCCCAGGCTGCGGGACTTGAGGCCAGCGGATAGCGGCGGGTCAGGAAAGTCCTCAAAGTCCTCCAGACGCCGCAACTCGATGGGCAGGTCCTTGGCGTCCTCATAGTCCAGGCTGCTGTCGTTTTTGGTGTCCTTCGACGACCAGGAATCCATGAACCAAGCATGACGTCGACCACGGGCTAGTTTCTGAAAAAAATAGGATTATGAAACAATCTAAAATCTTTTATTTTCTAGCGTTCTCTTACCTGGATGGCCCTTCGCACAAAACTGTAGCAGGACTCTCCCGGCGAGGAGGAACTAAGACTCGAGCTGTCCCCATCCCCCGCCGATCGACTGGAGTTTGTTGAGTCCTCGGTGTAGGCATGATAAGGCGGCTGAAAGTTGTCATCATCCTCCTCATCCGAGTACGAGTAGTTGCGATTTTTGGGAGGCTGCCAGGGGATGAGAACATCCTGCGATTCAAAGCGCCGATGACGCTGCTCCAGAGCCCAAACGGTAATCACCACTCGGCCGCCTATTCTCAGGATCCTGGCCAATTCTCTTAGAGCCTGCACCCGTCGCTCCGTGGTGGCAAAGTGGTGAACTACGGCCAGGGAGAGCACTGCATCGAAGCTGTCGTCTCGGAAGGGCAGCTCCAGATTATCGCAGAGAGCCACCTGAAAAGAAAGAATCAGAATTAGTTTCTTAACAAAATAAATCTTTAAAGGCTTAACTGAAATATTCCTTAAATAAATACAGTGTTTTCCATAGTCTTTGATTTCCCAAGACAACAGTGTGATATCACCGCAAAATTCCTTGCCAGCGATTCCCTAAGGAGACGTGTCAATTAAGCTCTGTCAAAGATGGCTATGTCTCCACAAACCAACAAGAACTTGGCGACAAGTCCCTGGCAGAATCCTCCCCCAGGACATGACCGCAAAAATATGCAAGCTACATCACATCCCACATCCCCCATGATGCAATTTCAGGCTCCGCAACGGAGAAAAGAAAGGGTTCGCTGCTCAAAAAGGATGTCACTAACTTTATTTCCATATCAAAGGCATTGCAGCCTGATTGAATGCGCCAGTGTCCTTTCGCCTGGCTACATCTTTTTGCAATTAGCAACTTTTTCCGAGCTGGCCAAATAAAGTTATCTATCGGATTCGGTTTGGAACAAAGCGTAGATGCCTTGAACGCTGACTGACCTATCCCAACCTGCACACGCCATTTATATTCATTTTCATGTCATGGCCAGAACTGATGGTGTCAATTACGGTAACAGGGGACACGGCACAAAAAAAAAAAAAAGATGAAAGATGATCCAAACAAGGGAACGTGTTTTCCATTCACACATACACCGATGAAAAACTGCTGAACGTGTCAATGGAGTCAATGGGAAAAACAGTATCGATTCTGGGCAATTTCTCGCAATTTTCTTGAAATTTTAATAGCCTTCGGATTCAATTTACATTGCTCGATCAACTGTTAAATTAAATATAAGTAAGAGTTCCATACAAATGCTGCCTCGCGTTGATGAAAATTGTGCAATTTATTTCGTGCAATTTTGTATTTTCTCGTATTTCCGTTTCCTGCCACCTAATATCGCAAATGTCCGTGTGTATTTGCGCTGCGGGTGGGTGGATGTGTGTGCCTGCTGCAGAAGGAAAAAGGAAAATCCTTGACCCGCCAAGCCTTCTGCTGCTACTCCTGGCGAGAGTTTTCCGCTTGGGGTGCTGCCTGGCCACCTGGTTAAAAGTGCAAAAAATCCTACAAACTGAGGTATTGCAGCTCGAAGAAGCCTTTAGCAAATATCAATTAACATAAGTGTTATTTTCAGGACCCTGGACTGCCATTCGAAATATAGACATTTTTAAAAGCATTAGAAGATGAAGAGATGAAGAAGGTTTTTGGTAGCAAAAGCCAGAGCCAGACAATGCCAGTAGAGAGGCTAAACTTAGCTAGCAAAATTCTACTTCAAGAGCAGCAAGCTGCATTTTGGCATTTAATCCTTGCGTTTGAATTAAAAAGAATTTAAACACACAAGAGGTACTTGTTTTAAATGGAATTAAAATGTAATATATATACATCCGAAAACAGAACCTCTTAAACATTTCTCCAAGTGAAAGATACTCAGGCAAACAAGCGGAATCCCATGCATTTTTAGGTAAGCAAGCCTTTGTTGGCTGCTCATGAGCATAACTCTTATTGCAAAGCCATTCATCCGATCTGCCCGGCCAGTCTCTGCCTCCTATATCCTTTATTCGGGCGCATCCAGCTGGTATGCAGGGGATGGCTGGGTTCTTGGATTCTTTATGCTCTTTACAAATCGTATTTATAGCAGTCGCCATTTTTCACACAGGGGTTGGCAGGGGGGGCGTGCGTGTGTGATGTGTGTAATGTCACACGGGTCGGGTACATGACGCTTTTGAATTTTGAATTTATTCTGACAGGCTTCTGCCAAGCGAGGGAGAGTGTCAGGTGAAAGTGCGGCGTGTTACGCATACGCCACGTTGCACGCTAATGAGGCCAGAGCGCAATGCAAAGTCTCCAAAAAGACACATAACGACAGGGGGGGGAGGGGGGGCAGGAGCACTCGGAGCACCGAAAGACCTCCTTATAGTGTATGCAGTTTCTCTTTGCGGCTTATTTAAATGGCGCTTTAGCCAAGCACAGGCCCTCAGGCCTGCTTCTTTTACCTCTCTTTTCTCCGTGTTTGCTTTCTACCTCTCCTTTTGGCCGATGAAAATTGCAGGTTTCACCTGGCCCAGAAAACGAAAAACTCTGCACCTGCCTCCCGCTTTCCGCAGCTATTATTGAGTTTCACTTTTTTATGTTTGCGGCACTGTTGCCATTTTTATGCGCCATTTTGGGCGGGTTAAGATTTACGAGCTCCCAGCAGGGCTCCACAGGATGTCCTCACTCACTGTGCGAGTGTGATTTCGGGGTTTTTGGGTGCACAGAGAAGAATTTTGTTACTCTGAGGGATCACATTTGGGATTTGAATTTCATTACATTCTAACTAAAGATGCCTCCTAATTGAAAAGATTAAGAAAAATCGAAATAAGGCCAAAATATCAATTTTATCAATTGTTTGAAATTTATTTGAATTTTTCTTTATTTGAAGCTGAACTTTTAACAACCGGATTATAGACGGCAAGTGGTTCGATATATAAAAAAATTCAATTTATCGCTCATATATCGCAAAGTGAAAATATCGAACTTACGTCTATTATCGATAATTTACCGATTTGCAAATATTTTCTACCATCCCAAGCGCTGTTCTTCAAGCTTAAAAGATATTTTCCATCAAGCAACATGCCAAGTATTTTGTTTCTCTGTATGTTCATGTTCCATTTCCCGTCAGGCCATGCACGAGCTGTGCTGCAGAAATCAAAGTTGCAACTTTGGCTCGGGGCGAAGTTAAATTGGTTTTGCATAAAGTTTTGCGATTCCCGCAACTAAAACCCAGCTTTCGCTTGCATGTCACGTTCGCATTGTGTGCATTTGCAGTCGGGTTTATTTTAAACACATTAGGCAAATAGAAATAACGTCGGATCGGATCAAATGGGATCGAATGGGATTACGTCCGCTACGCTTTGCTATGCAAATGCGCCGTGGCAGAGTGATTAGAAACACATGCGGATAATCGTTGGTTAAATGTCAAGGATTCAAGGACTCAACGGCAGCGGAAATCGGAGCCGCTAGACTCCTGTCCGGTCACGGTAATGTGGCATGTTATTAAATAAATTAAATCGTTTTCATCGTAAATCGCAGCTGCAACTCCTTGTTGTTGCCGCCGTCAGTCCCACGCAAAAGCAATTTAAATGCGAAGAATGCGTGTTGTCGATTATGGAGGAGGAAAATGGTAAATGGAAATGCATTCTCTGAGCCCTGGGAAATGGTACTCCGCCGCTGTTGCCTGGAAATGGCACCATAAATAAGCGCCCGGCGTTAGCAATAGATTATTGCAGAGAGCACATTGCATACCTCAGGCGGCCACCGCTGAATAACGGTCTTTATATAGCGGGGGTAGTTTGCAATTTATTGTAGTTCCTTGTAAAAGGAAATGTTCTCGGTTGCCAACAGCAGCAGCAGCAGCAGGACAATAGCAAAGGGGAACCCCAGGCAGTAGCACAGTGTTGTGTCATTGTTAAGGGGAATATTGTTCGAGGAAAGTAAGTGCGCTGTAGTTCATGTTCATTATGACATAGCCGAGCGTATCACTTAATTGTGGCGAGAAGAGCTTCAAGCGTGCACTTTCGCCCCATAAACTTTTCAATTTCCAAATACTTTATACTCAAGTGGGAAAAAAGTTTCCCTCTTCTTTTTCACGCTTAATATAAAGGGAAACTATTTTTTGGGAAACTATTTTAGGGGAATGTAGCCTGGCCTTGTGATCTTGTGATCAAGGGATATGAAATATCTACAAAAAAGGCACTAGAAATCATATTGAAAATATCGAAAATATATCGAATTAATTTATCGAATTGATTAATATTCAAATATGACATATAAAGGGTTAAAATCATATCGGAAGTTTATTAAAAATAATTTAATATTATTTTTTTCCAATTATATCGGTTCAATATATATACCAAAAATCCAATATATCGAAATTCTCGTCGAAACGATAAATAGGTATTTTCTGGTATACCTAGTTTTCACTTATTTATTTATTTTATATATCTAACGAAGCTTATCAACGGCAGAAGGAATATAAAACTTAAATATATTTCCAGAAATTTCCTGCTTTTATCCCTTCTTCCAATGATTATCCTTTCTATACCTACTTAATCTCCTCTCCATCCCCAATGGCATAATTTCAAACAGCAGAAGCTTGAACTGCATTTAATGCCAATGGCCATTATGCAACGCTGCTGCTGGTTGGTCACGCATCTGCAGGTTATTAGATCCGGCTCGTTGGCTCGCTCTCCAAACTAGTTCTCTTTTTACGGCTCCATTGTGGACCGTTTTAGCAATTATGAGGCATTAAAAACTGTCGGACGGAACATGTGCAAATAATACCCGTACGGCGTACACCCAATGATAAGCATAATTTATGCGCTTGCCGCTAATGGCCAACTCAAGTGGGGCAAGCCGGCATTTGAATTGAATCTAGCAGCAGATGTTTTATGGCCCAGCTTGTTAGCTGTTAAATGGGTCAATTGCATGGCCAAGGAACACGACCGCTGCAAACACATGCAATTAGCAGCAGGCTGCAATTAGATTGCACAAACACACACCACACACTCGAAGGATGTGCTCATGCGAAGTTCATTTGGCAAATTCCATTAATAACGAAACTTTTGAAAGGAATTTGGACAAGAAAAGTAGAAGTTTCTAGTTAAATTAGGTCATTTAGAAAAAGGAGAAAATATAAGAAATATTTTATAAGCGAAAATGGATTAAGATTTTGAATGCTAGCTTGGCTAAAAATGTTTTTTAAAAGCCTTAAACCAAGTCGATCTTCCAAACTGATTTCCCCCAAACACCCTACAATTTATAGTAATTTAACTCTTGAGACAAGAACTCACCCAAAACTCCATAAGGACTCTAGCAGGACTCACCTCACCGCCCTTCTCGTGGGCCACCTTGCTCAGCCGGTAGCAGCGCTCCACGCCAATGGTGCATATGGCCGGGTTGCACTGCGTTAGATATCGCCCACTCCCGCAGCCCACGTCGCAGACCACGGAGCCAGGCTCGAGGCCGGCCAGGAAATGGGCCATCCTGGGACGCACAGGACCCGTGGGCTCCTCGCAATGCTCGTACACATCGTGCACGTAGGCACGCTCCAGAGCTGCCGATCGGCCGCTGGCATCGCTACTCGAGGGTTTCGCTGTCGCTGTCGTTGTTGCAGGTTGCTTCAAAGTCTTTGTTGCCTCGGTGGCAGTTGCTCCTCCTCCTCCACCTCCTCCATCTGAGCTTGCTGTTGCTCCGCCTGTCTCGAGTGTTGTGGCCGAGGTCGGGGATATAACTGTGGGCGCCAAATCGCCCGCTTGGGTTATGCTAGAAGCTGCATTGGTTGCCGTAACCGTTGTCAATTGCTTGGTCATTGTTGCGGCTGCCTCGTTAGGTGTTGCTGATGTCGGTGTTGCTGCTGCTGTGTGGCACTTGTCATATGTTGTCGAGAGGCAAACTTCATCTGCAGAATATGAAAGGGGGAAAAAACAAGGAAATCAGAAATGTAACAAGAACTTTGTGTCAAAAACAAGGTACCATTGGGAAAAGGCACTTTAGATTACTTTGTGCTAAAGATTTTGATGTTGTGGTTATTGGAAATGGCACTTTTATTTAATTTTTTTTGCAGTGAGATTTAAGTAATGGGAATAAAAAGAAAAGCGCCCACGGCAAGATTAACAAGTGAACTAAAAGCCAGGAAATGGTCTTCAAATGAATCTCTTGTCTAAAACAGGACACTTCATTTCCTGTATTATTCGAAGCCAAGGCAACTTTATTTAAATAAACAAAGCACACATGTGAGTCTTTGTGAAGTCAACAATAAATGCAAACAAAAGCTAGTCAAAAACACAATATTTCACTTAACTTGTATTCAATCTCTAACAGCTTTCAAAATAGCAAATAAATACCTTTAAATACAAATACTTCTCAGCTAATAAAATTATTATATAAATGCATACTCTCGGGGCTAACTAGCTTTTGTTTTTTTTCTTTCTTCTGCTTCCGGGAAATCCCCTTCACTCGAGGATAATTCGTTAACCTAACCTTCTTCGATATGCAAACTGCAGTCTAATTTATAATCCGCAAAACAATTTGTATAATTAAGCCAATTGCCTTGCTGAATGCCGGCCATAAAGTCAATTTCAAAGCAAACTTCTTGTTGCATGCCGTTGGAAATTTAGCGAAAAGCCAAGAAGGAATAAAACGACTTGCAGTAGGTCGCAAGGCGTTTGGTCTTGGCTGCATGACATCAAGTCGTAAAATTGTTTAGAGCCAGGAGCGGATTCGGGAAATATATAAACTTTTAAACCAGTGAGTTTTAATTTAATTTTAAATTTTAATTTAATTAAAAATAATGAAGGCAAAATAATTATATTTCCATAAACCAGAGATTTAAGAATTTAATTACTTTTTCATTCGTTTAAAATTCATAAAAACATATAAAATAAATGTAAGGTAGTGAAAACTCTTGTTTTCTTAAATATTTCCCAGTTTTAAAGCCCTCAAGTAAGCCATAAAAGTTTATATATAATATATCAGGATAAAAAAGAGCCGTCAGCAAAACCCACTCGACTCGGCCAAGTTGCATACCGGATGTGTGGACACTGTTTTTGGTTGGCATTGTTGTTGACATTTTATAACCGTATTTCCGGTGGCAGTTCAAATGGAAATTTCAACGCCATCGGCGCGCAGCCATTGGCCATTGTGTCAGACCTAATAAATTGCATTAAAATGCTGTTGCACAAAAGGAAATTACCCAGCGTGGGCTTTGCAGTAGGTCCTTCGTGGGCTGCTTCCACAGATAGTGGAAGGTGAATGGGGGGTTAGGTGGCAGTGGGCGGCTCTACTGCAGCTTCAGCAGCCTGCAGTGGGTGCCAAACGACATTAGTGCAGTTAAATGGAATTATAATTGAAATCTGATTAAAAGCAGTTGTAGCGCCAACAATGACGCAGCATTCAGGACTTTGGACTGAGCTCAGGGACCACGGATAGGTCATGTCCAAAGGGTGTTAATGAGTTTTGCGCCCGCCCTGTGTGTATGTGTTAATAAGCGCTCTAAATGAGTTATAAATGTCCATATTGTATATTAAAGCATTTTCATTGAATTTATGGTTAGCAAGAGAGGAAAAAGGATGGCTTAGGTAGAGGGAAAATGCAGAAAATAAAAGGAGAAATAAATAAATATTAAAGGGAATATGTTAGAGACAAAATATCTTCAAAAAGTTGATTCAATTTATAACTAATTTAATTACCAATCTCACAGCATTTTGTACCCCATATATCGTTGATTTTACTCCACACCTTATTTGTCTACTATCTACTCTTCTCTTGGAAACACCTTTCCAATTCGTTCCTTACATGATGGGCATTCATTAACATTGTTTGGCGCTTGGCCTAATCAATAAAGTGCTTTCCTGCCGCAAGAACACTCATACGCAACGTGGACCGGGTTATAGGTTACAAGATGCCAAGACTGGCAGAATTGCCTGACAGGATGCTTACCTTTTGCGGGGCCGTTGCTGCGCTGATAACTCGCATTCAACAAAGCCGTCGAGGACGCCAGTTCCGCTGATAACATGCGACGACAAAGCCGATTGCCCGGATAGGCGGCTGCTGATGAGGACGACGATGATGGTGGGTGATGGTGATGATGGCGATATTTAGGGACGACAACCGGGCCGTGGTCGGAAAATCAATGTGCATGCATAATTTAAAGTCAGTTTGCGGTGGCACTTTCAGGATACTTGTATATACTTTGGTTTATTTTTAGACTTTGCCAAGCAAGGCACGTTTTATACGATAATTTGCTCAATTTACTTTTTTGAAATCTATCATTATGGCAACTACACGATGTAATTGCTATTGTTGTTGTCGCCTTTGTTTTTGTTGTTGTTGTTGCTTGCTGGGAACTATGGCTAAGGACAAGCTCCGCTGTCCTGGCCGTGTGCCACACAATATAGGATACACAAAATGCTTTTCCACTGGGCTCCTGCTTGTGCTCCCGCTCCTGTCAATGCTCTGCCTCTGGCATATGACGTTTCCTTTGTGTCTCTGTGTATGCGTATATGTGTGTGTGCGTGTGTGAGTGTTTGATTTTCTGCTTCTTACAGCCACTTTTCACTTGCACTTTTCTCCCAAGACTCGACACTAGGACTCGGCTCTGCCTTATCAACTGCGGCTCTCCCCCAATTACTTTTCCATTATCGCCCTCGATTCGATTCGGTTCTTATTTTGTTATACGTTTAATTTCTAGGACACTGGCACTTGGCGCTTCAATTATACACACACACACACACACACAGCTTTGAATATATATATGTGTGTGTGGTTGGTATCTCAGCGAATTCACGTTTGCTTTCGGCCGTCCTCGTGTCCGTACTCTCGGAGTTAACGTCGCGAACTGACTGAAGGAAAAGCCCCTCATTGGACTCCAAACCGCGTGCCCAAGGATTTTCCTCCTGCTCCAGCGCCATGTGTATGTCTGTGTGTGTGTGGAACGCGTCGGAAAAGCTTTGGCCAACTTAACGAAAGCTTTCCGAACGTGGGGGACCATCAGCGCTCAGCTGTTCGCCGCAGAGAGGGAAAGTGCCGTAGGAGCAAGGAATAGCCGCAGGTCCTTAGGTTAAGAGATATTTTAGTAGGTCTGGATGGTGTTAAAATTAAGGTATTAAAATATTAAAAAAATTAGGAAAAAATAAGGAATAGAGGGTAATACAAATTCACAATGAAAAAATATTCCAAATGAATTTTTTTTAATAGAAAAACAATACAATTGTAAAAGAATTTATTTCATTATTTGATAAACTTTTATGATTTTATTTTCTAAATTTATTTTTATGATTTTTTATTATAAGCTTAATTTTTTAATATTTGTAAAACTTTTCATGATTTTAGCTTACACTAAACTACATGACATTATATTAATATAATTAAAATAAATATATAGTAACCCATCAAAAATGCTTTATTTTATTTACCAAAGTTCGTAGTTCGTTGTCTTTGTTTCAATTTATTGCCACAATACTCCTTTTCAGAGCTCAAGGGCCGCCTAAAAATAGCAACCTCCAGGCAATTAAAATGACAAAAGAAATAAAAAGAGAAAAATAACAAGAAAAACAAAAAGAAAAGCTCCGATATTCGCCTTTGTTCGGTTGACGCGAGGCAGCTTGTCAAATTTCATGAATGAACCCCAAAGCGCAATTGAAGAAGCCGAAAAGTGAAAAATGGCAAATGGGTAAAGGGAAATTGGGTAAAAGGGAAGTAGGGAAAAGTCAAAAGGGAAAGCAACAACCGCATGTGGAAAGCGCGAGCACAGAAATAGATGCTTCGTCAAGTTGGCCAGTGAATTGTGTCGAAAATAGCCAAGAGCCCGAGCGAAGCCATGAAATAGGCGAAAAATAGCTACCCGATTTTATTTTATTTCGCAAATGGCGCAAACTCCACCGACCATCCATCCCGCTCCTACCCCCATTGCCCATCTCTGTCACACGCGTCCCCCCCCGTCAGCCGATTATTTTTGATGAATGAAAAGCTTTTTGTTTCGGCTTTGCCGCTATCTGCGGCCCGCGTGGAAAAGCCACCAGTGGGAGGGAAACTCAGCGTCACTCAACCCCATCCAACTCCCTCCTGAAGCCGAAGAGCATGGCACTGTTGTTGTAAAATAGCAACGTCCCCCCGCATAGTAAAAGCCCTCCTGCATGGCATATCGGAGTGGTGGGATCTCGGGATCCCAAGCGTCACATGTCTTTTTCGGGCCGCATGACTAATACAGGCAAATGGCAAACGTCGTCGTCGTCGTCGTCGTCGCAGGTTGTGGCGCACATTTGGCGACATGCCAGAGCAGATACGCATACGCATTCCCAAAACAAAATGTATTGGCACCGAAAAAGATTACTTGAAATATTTGAAAATTGTTTAATATTTTCTAAGATTTTTAATAAAAATCATAGTTCATGAAAACCTTGTTTTTAAGATATGTTTTCATATTCCTAAAATTCATTTAAAATTGAGGTTCAGCATAAAATCTCAAATCAACTTTCAAGAAAAAATTTTCACAATATTCACAGATATTACAACACTTTTCTTTCAGCGTAAACCCACCAACCATAATGTCTGATTTTTACCGGTAGATGAGTTGATGTCGTCACTGTGAAGCGTTGGATACTCTGTTGAATCATTCAGAAGCTAAACGCAGGGAATGGTTCCTTTTTTATGGCATGTTTCCAACAAAAGAACGAACTTTTCATGTGGCAGATTGAACTACAAGTCTAAGTTTACAAGTGGATGCGACTTTTATGATTTGTTTCGCCAAATGTTATCGCTTGCGTAGGCCGGGAAACGTCACAGCCGGTGACGCCTCGAAATTTGACTTGCCGAAGGAGAATCTCAGTGGAAGGACAAATATCCCGAGTAGCAGCAGTTCGGAGATATACATAGTTATGTAGAGGAGTAAATGGATGTGTCCCTGTGCCACACGCCTGCCCCGGCGGCGGCGTCTCTAACGAATGTGCCATCATTAGTTCTGTCATAGTCATAAATCATGCGCCCCGTTGAACGCTGGCCGGCAGCACGCCGTGCCGTCTAAGGACATGCGGCAGCGGCAGGACTGCATTGCTAATAATGTCACGTAGCACAGCTTTTGACAGTCAAGTGTCACACACATACACTTCAGCTGCAAATCCCCCGGGATGGCCATGATTATATGCTGCTTAACATGCCCAATTACGACCAGGAGTTGCGGGGAGTCCGATGCGGCTGGATGGATGATTTGAATATTCCCTAATCTCGAGCAGAAGCGTTGAATTTAATTACAAGAACTGTGCTGAACTGTGCACACAAATAAAAAAGAGGGAGAAAAACCCATTTCGCTGAGCTATCGCCAGCCGGCAATCGCAACACCCACTGGCGCTCATCCTTATCCGTGTCCTTGGCAGGCTAAGACATTTCCTTTTTGCGTGTGCTTGTGCGAGCTCTCCTTCTTGTCGTCGGCAAATGAAGTGCAAATTATGCCAACGGCCAGGCCATTGCAGGGAAAAGAGCGCGGAAAACAAAGCGCTTTCCACGCCGCGGCGCCTACCCAAAAAGTATGCAATACATTTTGTCGAGAGGGGGATTTTCGGTGGGGCTTTTCGGGCAAGATTACATGGCAAAGCATAACTTTATTGAGGTTCTCTGTATATATATATATATATAGTATATATATGTATGTGTGTGTGCACAGTATATAGCCCTAATGCTTGGCGCGTGGCATTGTCAGCGAAATCGGCGCCATTTGAAATGGTCGCGTGTAGTCGGTAGTTTTGCGGCAACCTCGCTTTTTCAAGCCGGCCAAGATGCCATATCTTGTTGCGCATTTGTCCATGTACCACGGTCAATGGTCGAGCGAGGGAGCCCCGGCCAGTGTCACCCTGACGTCAGCGTCCTCCAATGTTAAGGCACCCATATCCTTGCTCCGCCCCTGGCCAAGGCCAAACAAACGACGGGCGGCGTCCGATGTCGCGTGACGCACAAGGATATTGAGTCCTACGATTGTCGTCGTCGCTGTTGTTCAGCCTTAGATGAATTCCTTGTGGCCCTGCGTTGTTCGTTGTTTGCTCTGTCACGTGTTTGCCTAGCCAATTAGAGTTATGGGAATAGACCAGCCATGGCTTAAATCAGAGAGATAGAGAGAGTCGGAAAGCTTGAAGAGCTTTTTTTAGTGTAGCTGGTGCACAAACCAGACAGGGAAATTCGCTTTTCCGGGGAAGAGAAAACCCAGGAGCGGTTTCACTGGAATAAAGGATGTATTTATGAACTGAATATGAAATAATTGTTGATTTCCCAAGGCTCAGCATCGAATAAAAAGAGTTTTTGTTATATATTTTTAATATAATGTGGTATAGTTATTATTATAATATGAACTTCCTTAAGATCTTGGTTCGTCAGGGATTAATAGGCTTAATACGAGTTCTTGGAGCTTTGACTAGATGCGCATCATCACACGCAGGTCAAGGATCGATCTCAGGATCGTGGGGTCATCTAGAAAACCTGGCTTAAACCTGGTTAAAATCTGGTTACAACTTGGCTACAACCTGGCTAAAACCGGGATAGAACCTAGGTGAAACCTGGTTAAAACCTGGTGATCTTGTTGCTTTCAGGCGAGGGCGGCAGCGAGGAGACCGAGGAACGGGAAGGACTCTGCTTGGGCCGAGGCGGAGGACGCTGGGGATTAATATTGGCATTAGCCTGGCGGAGATTGGCGAAGAACTGCTGGCGTCGGGGGCCACCGCCACGCAGGGGTAACGTAGGAATCTCACTGGGCGACTGGTGGTTAACCTCATCCTGAGCGCAGTGGCGCATGGCAGGATTCACGCACTCGTAGACACTCTGTAAGGAGAAATATCAATATCTAAACTTCAAATTGAAAGATAAGCTAAGACAACCCACCTGTTCCGAGGAGTACTGGTTGTTCTGGGCAAAGGCCAACGAGGTGAGCGAAGGCAGTGCCTGGGCAATGTCCGACCGCTCGATGCCTCTCACAATGAGGAAGGTGCGTGGTATCAGGATGCCCACCAGCACAGCCCAGCCGGAGGCCTGCAGTCCCAAGGGTATAGCCGCATCGCGCCACTCGTCTCCGAAGAGGGATAAGACTATCCAGGCCACCCAGATGACCATGATGAGCACGGTTCCTATGACAATAAGTATTCCCTCGCGATAGTTACGCTGCGAGCGATAGAAAGAAGGTATCAATGCGCCCAGACAACACAGCAAAATGAAATCGTAGGCCAGGAGGCCCCACAGCCATCTTCCATAGTAGATATTCTCACAGGACACTGCCTCCGAGGCCACGTGCATCACCACGAGCAGTTGCACTGACATGCCCACCTGGACGACAACGCTGAAGGCACAGATCACTGCCTGTATGTAGCCATTTACATGGGACAGGAAGCCTCCCTCCGAGCCAATGGAAGCCAGCATCACGGCCCGGCAGAGGAGCAGGGAGAACACAAAACAGTAGACCAAGGTCATCACGAAGACCCGCACGGCGCACAGCGTGTTCAAAGTCTGGGCATCCTCCAGAGTCACATGCGAGTTGCGCTGCTCACCCACATACTCGATGGAGAAGGGCACAAAGGAGCAGAAGACCAGGATCAGCGAGAGCAGCAACAAGATCGAGGTGGCCGGGTTGCCCTCGAAGACATCGCCCAGTGAGATGCGAACAACAATAAAGACCAGGATGGCCAGGGTAGCAATCAGGCCGAGTATGGCGGCTGTAAGTCCGGCTGCCACCCAGGTGTCCATCTTGATGCGCCAGAACATCACGGATTCACCCTCAAACAGGAAGGGGTATCGTCGATTATCCCCGGCACTGTACTGGCAGTTGAACACTTGTCCAAACTTGGTCTTCAGCTCGAGGCTCGTGTGGTTGTCCCGGTTGTAGTGGTAGTAAGTGGTCACATTGGTCACAAAGTTCTGCGATGCTATCTCACGGAGCTCTGTCCTTGACTCGCCTGTGATCTTGTCCAGCATCAGGACCTTCTTCTGATACATCTGGAAATTCATCGCCGTGGCTAGCTTGCGCATGGCCAGAAGCGAAAGGATCTCGGCGGTTTCATGCGCCTGTCTAAATTCGGATGTCCTCCAATCCTCGATGAAGTTTAGAAAGTTGAAGCAAGTCTTCAGCGAATACAACTCTCTCTCTCGCTGGCAGTGCTTGGCCAGGGAGCCGCGCAGCCAGTTCATCAGGTCCACAATGGAACCAGCAAAGCTTAGAACCCGCGAAGGGACTATGCTCTTTCCTATCAGCACCTCATCAAGGGTGGTATGAGCGCTGTCCAGTTCAGTGCTGGTGCTCAGATCAATTTCATTCTCCATCAGAATGAAGGCTCGGTTGGGCAAATCTGGAAGAGTAACCTTAAAGATATTGTATTTCGTAAAAGTATCTTTTACCCACCTGCCAGAAACTCATCATCCGTTCGATCGGTGGGCACAGCAAACAGAGTTCCGTTTTCTTTAAAGTGACTGGCCACCTTGTTGCCAAACAAGATGTACACATTCTCGTCACTCTTGAAATGCATCAGGCACATATGCTCCTGGCGGGCGGCTTCCATGAAGTCATTATACATGTCCAGCGTCTCGGTTGCTATCTCCACGGAGGCTATCTTCTCGCCCCATGGCATTTGGTGCAGCAAATGGGCAACTTTTGGAAAGAGATGATCTCGGGTGCCTGGTATAGGCCAGATATTATACTCGAGGTCCTTAATCACCGACTCCAGCTGCTTGTACAAGTCCAGATCGATGAAGATGCCCATGGAGAAGTCGGTGCACTGTTGCATAAACTGAACCTCCTGGAGGAGTATGTTCTCGGCCAAACTGTTGTTGTCAATGTTGATGGCGCGTATGCCTGGAATTCATGGTTAATTAAATTAAATTTAATTTAAATTAACTTAAGGCCTTGTTACATACCAATTTCAAAGTCGGCCATTAAGAAGTTTGCCTGATTGAGGCGATTGATAACAAACATTACGGAGATGGGATCCTTGGTCAGGACACTGAGCATCACGTCCCCCTCAATTATCTTCACAAACTCATCCTGTTTCCGTATCACGGTTCCCTCATCCGGACTGTCTACGGTTATCTGGAGGCCATTGAGACATATCTCTGGCACTAAAGTGTCGCTCGTTCCATCGCTGCTGCTGCTGCTGCTGCTGCTTTCCGTGGTGGACGAGATGAGCGGGGCCAGCTGTCCATCGTGCCAGCTCGAGCTGGCACTGGAGCTGGAGCCGGAGGCTCCGTCATCGATGGTGGTGGGGGCCATGGCCACTGTTGTGGTTGGTGGCTTTGTGGTAATACTGCTGGGCTTGACCTGCTGACTTGTGGGCTGTGGCTTGGTTATGCGTAGGGGAGCCGACTTCTTGGTCGGTGATGTCACCTCTATGCCCTGGCACTCCAAGATGCAGGGGAGAGCGATTAGGATACATAGCAGGGCTGAAAGTAGTGGGGTAAAATGTGAAATATTTTATAAAGTATTGTTAACAAACTAACAATGATTTTCAATATGAAATCGTTTGTAATAATGACTATCTTTCAATATAAAACTACTTAAGAAAACTCTTCCAAGAGATACTTAAGTAGAGATTTTTACAAGGAATCGCAATAATAAGCTTCTTTCTCAATGTTTGAGTTCCTTTTCACAGAAAGAAGGAGTCAATCAAGAAGCCGTCTTCTTAGAGTAAGTATAGGAAATCCCCCCTGAGTGGTTTCCATTGTCCAGTTTCCACTTATGCCAGTGCCATTTTCCCTTGGCCTTACATCATTTACTGAGTACTCACCCAATGGTAATGGCTGCCTGCGGCCAGACTGCCTCGAAGCCATGACCTTCCTTGGCTTGCGTTTAATGGTTTTTAATTAAATAAAAAAATTACAATTATATTTGCAGTTCTTCCTTCAACATATACGAATAGTTAGTGGCATTTTAAGTGGGAGCACACGCTGGAAACACAGAAAGAAAATTGTGAGTTGGAAATTAGCAATTGAACAGGGCTCTGAATCGTTATGGGTACAATTTTATTTTAAGCTTTTGCCATTTTTTCTTGCCAACTGCGTGGAGAGTGTTGCACTTTAATCGCATTAAAAAATGTCACACTAACACAGACGGCGACTTTGGGTTGGCACAGTTTCCACTTTGTTCATTTTCCTTGTGATTTTCCCCGCAAACTACACACTGCACACTCACTATCACTATCAGTGCAAAGTACTGTCTTTCTGTTTTCTCATATTCTCGCACTTCGGGAAAATCAATAGAATTTATTTAAGGCAAGTTCTTTGATTTAATGCTGAGCACTTATTAAACAGATTCACGCAGCACTCCGGGCTCTCTGGCAGTCTGGGCCACAATAGTTTTTGGTTCGGTGAAAAAAAACTAAACGCCTCAGTGAGTTTAGGGTCATTTAAAGCGATTCTCGTTTTATATTTGTCCAGCACATAACAGGCTTTATTTTTGTTCTCTCGCTGCGGACAATCAATTTGATTAACGGGTGCAGCAGGTTTGCAATGCCCATGCAATTATGTTCTATTGGTTTATTTCAGACTCTTTTAGTTAGTTTTTGTATTTTTTCAGCTGCTTTGGAACCCACCCTCGAGGGTAAACCGTACCGTATTGCACCTGTTTTGGCCGTTTTGTTTTGACTAACTTGGCTTAGGCCGGGCACTCGCTGGTTGTTATGGTTATTGGCTCAAACTGTCACTCAGCATTGAGTGGTTTTTTCGCTAAGAGTGTTCGCTTTCCCATAATTATAAATATATATGAATATATGGTATATGCGGATGCCACCCTCGTGGTAGCCAGTTTAAATATTGGTCATTGCAATTAGCCAGTTCGTTGGGAAAAAGTTTTGGGTTTCACCCCTTTTTTCTCTTTTTCATGTCAAAGGTGACGAGCAGTAATTGTAATTTGGCAAACTTTTATTTTGTGTTTTATCCACAATATTGGCTATCGCTGCTGTGGTTATCTCATTTAAACCCAGTAGAATTTCCCCAGTTTAATTTTCCCCCCAGAAGGGCATCCTTGAAAGCCAAACAGAGACATTCTTGGGCCTTGGGCTTTGACATTCGCATTGCTTGTTTCCGGGTTTTTGGACTTTTTGCATAACACTTTTAATTAATGTCCAAAGCAACTGCAGTTGAGGGAAAAGCCAGCAAAAGTCATTCCCGGTCAGTGCCCAGGGCTGCATTGCATAAGTTAAATATTTAAATTAAAACCTTGATTGCACTGGGGTTTTGGGCTATTTTTAAATTGTAATTTTTGCACACACGCACCAGTAGATTGCCTTCGGGCCACGTTCACTCTTTAAACTGTTTCGGCCAACTGAGCGAGCGGAGGAACTGACAGAACCGCGACTGCCGTAAGCCCATAAAAATGCAGCTGCAGGCCTGCCCCTTTCGACCGGGTTAGTTAGCTACCCGCTTAGGGTACGTTGTGGCTAAAAGGGGGTGGGCTAGGTCTTGGCTTCCACTAGACTCTGGCTCAAAGGGGTTGCGCCTTGTTTCGGTGCCAGCTCAGGTTGTTATTATTATTATTATTCGCCTTTTTTTGCAGTCAATATAATATGCAGTTATTAGTGACACCGATGGGCATTACTTAGCAGGGATTGGAACTGCTAGAGAGCAAATAGGTTAGTTTCTTATTATGAGTGTTTTTTTGTTATTATAGCGAGCTAATTATGGAAGATTTTAACTGGGTTAAAATATAATTTATCAATTTTAAAATGGTTTTCTTGTTCCTAATTATATTTTCCTTGAGAATTTATTGTATTTTCCAACAAATTTTATTTAGTTTTTTTTGACTAACCTCGATGATGTTTTCTAAATTTTTAAAATAGCTTTTAGTCCGATTTCTAAATTTTAAAACCAAGTTATTATACAATTTTGTGGCCTCCAAATGGAGGATTAAAGCGTTGAAATTGCTGGAAATATTCCTTGTTTTCAGATATACATATTCCCAGAATCTAATTTATTGTCCATCTCCGGCTCCCTTGTTAGCCGCATTGCGCATTCCCAAAGCCGGTCCGCGTGTGGTTACATCTCCGGTAGTATACTTTTGGTTATACATATCGTCGTCGCTGCAGGACGAGACTTCCGAGGAGAATTGGAACTCATCCATTCCCGCATACTCATCCATGCTGTCCAAGGGAGTATCCAGTTCAGTGTCCTCGTCTTTTTTATCCCCCTGACAGCCGGCCATATTGCGAGATGCGATCAGGCCCCCAGGCTCACAAAGTCCATCATTGGATTGTTTCTTTGGCACCAGGATGTCCCCTAGATTGGGCAGCGTCTTGTTCCCATCATTCATCTGGATCTGGTTGCAAAAGCGTTGGATTTGTCCCAGCACCTCCCGCATGCCCATCTCCGAGGACTTGGCTGTGAGACTCTGGTCCGAGCACGTCTTGCGGGGCTCTGCCATTCCCTTCTGCTGCTGCTTAGGTTTATTATGATACGAAGTCTGAGGCTTCACCATGTCGCTTAAGTCTCGTCTGGTGAATATTTTGGATTGGTTCTTAGACACCTTTATGCCGGAGTGCTTTAGAGTCTGCGATGGCTTGCAGCCAAGCTTGGAGGCCTGCGAGGCGGCTTCGGTGAGATTTGCTTTCGAGGCACTGACCATTTCCGGTGTGGGATTGCCGGCCATCATGGATTGGTGCTGGTAGAACATCTTGTCGTACTCGGATTTCATGCACAGATACCGGAAGTGACGCGAGTTCTCCTCGCCGTAATAGATTACCTCTGGGGGGAGGATGAGGACATGAGTTTAAGAGGCTCTGAGGAGTTCAAGGGAAGACCTACTGCTGGTGACCATCTCCTGCAGCTTCTCCAACTGCTCGTTGGTCTGCTTCAGTTCGCCGGAAAACCTATCGACTTTTTGGCCCAGATCCCGGAAATTCTTTAACAGTGCATCTGAAATGGTATTCTGCAGGAAGAGGTTGTGTGAGTTTATAAGTTGAAGGATTCCTCGATGCTTTGCCCACCCCAACGGCCTTTTGTACGGTCTGGCGTATTAGCTCGAAGAACTCCTCGGGATCGTCCTCTTTCTCGTCATCGTCATCGGCAATACTCACGTGCGCCCTGCTGGTCGGGTTTGGCTGACCACGTCCACGCGAGTGCTTCTGATGGGGATGCGGATGCTGCTGCTGCTGCTGCAGATACGGCAGGTGACGTTGCTGCTGCTTGTTGTGACTGTTGTGGGACATCTGCTGCTGGTGCAGCTGATGCTGCGTCGGATGCTGCACCACCATGTTCTGGGTCAACTGCATCTGGTGGCCATGGTTATGCTGGTGATGGTGGTTGTGGCTTTGGGCTTGGTTTCCCATCAGCTCCTTGTCGGAGAAATCGACACAATCGTTCAATGCATAGTTGCTCCGCTGAGTGTGGCACTTGCCGTGGCGATGGCTTTCCTTCGGCTTGGCCATAGTGTAGATGCTATTGTTCACCTTGCTCTCGGGCGGTGCAAAGTGCGGCACCTTGGTCATCTGCGGCTGACGGGCGCTGGCCTTGACGACCAAGTTGTTGCGCCGCGAGGACATGGCGTTGTACGGCGACGGCATTATCTGGGATGCGGTGGCGTTGGCGTTTCGCAAATTGTTGGCCGTCATCGGCAGATTGGTGGTGATGTAATAGTCGTTTTCGGTCACAAAGCTACGCTGGGGACGCTGCTCCGTTTGCCGGCTACTAATGATTCCCCCACCCGGTGCACCACCACCACCACCGGTTGCACCTCCTCCAGCCGCTGTCCGGGCCGTCGTCTTGTTCATACCTGCTGCGTGTGTCACCATCACGGACTTGACCGGTCGAAGGGTGTCCATCTTGGAGCCATACACCTCCTCGATCCCCTTGCGTCGAATGGGGCGCACCATTCTCATCGAAATAATGCGACTGCGTTGGGAATCCTCGAAATACTAGCTCTCGAGGGTAACAATCTTTGACGCGCGCGTCTTGAATCAATAATAATTATGTGGAAATGCAAAGGAAAATGTATAAATTGTATGTTTTACGGAATATTTTACATTTATGTATGTTTGCTGTTTGGGAAACTTGGCTAAATGAGTTGAGAGAGTTTGGAAAACGATGAAAGGTAATATACAGAGCCAACTGGATGGGAAAGGGTTTACAAAGTTGGCTAAGATATGGGCAGAAATTAGGAGAAGGGGTTTGTGTGTCTCTACGTTTCTTTAAGAACTACCTCCAATTGATCTAAACACCTAAGAGTCTTAAAAGGTAAAGCATTGATAGCTTAATGGACTCAAAACTTATTTCAATTGATTACACATTCGCGCGATTGATTTTTACACTTCACATTCGGCACGGCTCATTATTCATTATTCATGGCATCGCGGCGGCATGGCATCGCTGCTGGTGAGAGATTTCCCGCCGATTTGTTTACACTTTGCCGCTCAACTAACCGCAAATGGCAAATAGGTGAGGAGCAGAACGCAACGATGGCAAATGGCAATGACACAGACCAAAGGCCGCAGACTTTGGGCGGTTCAATGTTTGCTCGCTTTGCCGGAAATATTTGTTTGATTCGATGCCAAATCAAATGCTAATGAGCTGCATTTGATTGCGGGCTGTCAGTGGCTTTTGGCATAAAAGTGGTCTGAGTCTTCCCCTTTGCACGTTCCTCAAAATTATTACAAATATTTATCCGATTATTTACCTTTGAACCTTTGGCCGGGGACGGGTGTTAAGAGTAGAGTATCCTCTGCGAGGCCACGCAGTCTGAATCCTTAAGTATCCAACAACTAGCTTTAAGGCCCGAAGCCAAAACTCCATGTCTGGACTGCTCAAAATAGACCGCTCAGCCTCAGGTTACAGACACTTAAGACATAAAGTGGGTATAAAGGGAAAAGGAGCGGCTAGGAAAAAGAGCTCGGACTAGGGCTCAATAAGGCGCTGAAGGACCCTTTAAAAATTGGGTCATCTGTCTGTGCCTTGAAACGGGAAACCCAAGGCATGAATATTCCAAGCCCAGACCTCCTTCGACGACGACGACGACGACGACGGCCACTCCTTTCCTCATGTGCTCATTATGCAAATTGCGCATACGACGCGTGTGCCTGGGGGCCACTAGCCATTGCAGGAGCTATTATCCTCCTTCTGCATTGCAGATAATTCTTCTGTTGACAATCTGTTGCATGCGATAAGCCGCAAACAAACCTATTACGAGCGGGTTTGAGATCTAATGGGATAATTTTAATTTGGGGCGTCAGCCCCCTTAAGTGACCTCAAGTACAGCTCATTAAACATTCGTGTGGCTGTGTGGGGTTAAATGTTTAGGGCATGGGCCATAAAGTGCCAACAACAGTCAACAGCTTCAATAACTTATTGTTTTGGCCAGCCTTGTATGCCTGCGGTTGACCACAAAGTCCTTTCCCCTTGGTTGTCTGCCACCTTGAAGGGGATTTGTGTCAATGTATATTGCAGATACACTAGGAAATAAATAAGAATTCTGAGTTTTTGAGTTTTAATTAAAAAAAATATATATGAAATATATTAGAAGAGTCTTTAGTTTTTATTTTGAATATATGCTTTTGAAGACTTAGGGTCTTTTAAAAGGAAATCCAAGTAAATTTTAAGGTAAAATGCTATTTTATATTCTGAAAATAAATCAAAAATTATTCTGAATAATATTTTTAAATGAGATCTGCTAAATTTCTGTTGTTAGTATTTTTATAAATAAAAAATGTTTATATACTTTGATGAAAAAATTCATTTTCTTGCAGTCTTTGCAACAGTCGTCAGCCAAGGAGGGCTGTACTAGGTTTATTTTCTAGAAATTTCCCTGAAAAGCGGCCACTAAGCACTTGAGTGCTTTTTCCATAAAAATCCTTGCTAAATTGCGATGACATTGGTATTGGCAATGGGAATATAGCCACACTTCTGCCTTACCATTATTATTAAGACTAGTTATAGGTGCTTCACCTTGGCTGCTTTACCAACATTATGCCAAAAAAATATTATAAAAGCAGATTCCCACGAAACGTGAGCCATTCGAAACGAATATTAGTCATTAGCATTTTCGGAATCGTAAATTTTTGGATGTGCCGCGGCATTAGACAAGCTTAAGGCGACACTTCCAAGAAATTTATCACCCAAGAAAGTTTAGCCCGCGGCGCAGATAAATCAAACGAACTCTGGCCACGTGTTGGCCAGCAACAAATTGCTGTTTGAGTATTTATAAGCCACATGAAATGGGAAAATTTCTGCTTTATTCTTATATTTTCTTTACTTTAATTGCACACTGCAAGGCCAATTAAAAGGCAAGTGAGCGTTGCAAACGCATAAATTTGTAGTCTGTCGGCAAGATCTTCAAGACGTTTTCCCGCAGCCCACCCAAAAAACGTCACTTGAAGAATTCTATTTCTATTTTTAATTATTTGTAAAATGTCTGAGAACTAAAAAGTTTGTTCAAATTGTTAAAAACTTGTTGGTTTCTTGAGAAAGAGCATCTGAGAATCATACACTTGATGGGTTTCCATATGTTTATATATATGTTTTCAGAGCCAACGAGTAAATAATTTTATGCCTATTTATTTGCTTAATTTAAGAGCTATTTATTGTTGTTTATATTTATATTTTAAAGCACTCCCCGTTGACAGACGAACATGACGATGAGCGGGTATTTTCAGCGCCTCTCACTCTCCCTCGTGTGTTTTATGACAAAATGTTCATAATAAATAAATGCTACAGCGAAATAAATTGCCTCAACAGATATCGTACAAATAAATTTGCTTATTTACGCGATGCTGCCTATAGTTTGCAACAAAAATTTCGCGATTCGAATCGCGTTTCGTTCGCATAAATGCAGCTGCTGTCACTTTGTTTTGTTTTCAATAAAAAATCGTTCTGACTCGTCTTTTGATTGTTGATGATTATTTTTCAGAATTTTGATGGCTTTTTGTCATGAATTCTGAACGTAGCGTTTCTTTATCTTTTTCGTTTAATTTTTGTAGATCACTGGGTTTTGTATTGCTGCTTTTGTTTTAGCTCATCGCGCAGGAAACTGAATGAAATGAAAATACAATTTCTTGGTATTTGGGTCAGCAGAAATTCGTTTTTGCTTCACTTCAGTTAAATCAATTAAAGTCATAAATATAGTGATGCAATTTAAAAAGAGGATAAGTAGTTGGTGAGGCTGTTGGTTTTCTTGAATATTTATTTATTAAGTTAATTATATTATTTTAATAATAATTATTGTACCATTTTTCAATTGTTGTTTTATTTTATATTAAAAACATACATATAAATAGATTTTAATATTTTAAAAATATATTTTAAGACTTAAAAATTAGACAAATGTTATTAAATACCTTCCGTTATCAAAATAATTAACCTGTATGTTCCTGGCTCTAACTAGTTGATAAGAAAGCTTCCGGCTTGCCTTGTGTTGCTCAACAAATAAGCTCTCCTCAAACACGAGCAACATGTTGCTGCCACACTGTACTATACATTTTGTGGCCACCTCGAAGGCGTTTGTAGGCCTTTAGTAATTAATTGTCTAACTGGCTTATAAATATTAACTTAACACTTGAACCACTTGAAATCCGTATCCGCATTGGAGCTGCGTCAAGTGCAGCAGCAGAAGCCGCAACAGCAGCAACAGCAGCATGTTGATAAGCTGCAACAGCGACACGAAACTAGTTCAGCAACATAAACAAAGAACAGCTGTTGCTGGTTTTTTTTTTTTTTTTTGGCTTGTTCAGTTGGCGGCTTCTTTTAGCCGGCTGAGCTTTGTGGAGTGAAATCAGGCAATGGCAGCATGCTGTGTGGCTCGTGTCGTGTGCCTTCGTGTCGGCACACCAGCAACAACAGCAACAAGAGCAATACCAGCAACAGCAGCAGCAGCAACATCAGCAGCAGCAGCAGCCCAAACAGGAAAATCCGCACAGAAATTCAGTTCAATGCGAAATTTTGAATGAACCAGACGCGAAAACTCTTAACGCTGCGTGGCCAAAATAATCATAAAATCGTGTTGGCAAGTGCGTAAAAATTGTAACCAAATTCCAATCAGGAAAAAGAAGTGCTAAGGAAAATTATAAAAATTAAAAACTCAACAAAATTAAGGATTAAACAAAACTAACACTACAGTGAAACTCAAAACCAAACAATAAATAAATTTCTGTGTGCATTTTTGAGATACTCATCAAGACAAGAAACCAATACCTCTACCAAGATTGTTAATCAAAGTCTTGGCCCCAAGTGAAATTTGTTCCGGCCAAAAATTTAAGCCAAGTCAAAGTGCTAACCCAACGCTTGTTTAACACTTTGCCCCCAGCGACGCGAACTCAATTTGCATTCGTAGTGTAATTTCAATTTCCATTTTCCCATTTCGAGTGCAACATATTCAATTTGAATTGCAATTGCAATTCACACCGTCATGGCAAAGTAGTTTGGGTGAGTATCGCGTTGCGATTGCGCAATTACTAAGCGCCAGGCCATGTGCCTTGGACACTTAAGTATCTATTCAAATTTATATATTTGTTCGCATTTAGTTGACAGTGATTAATCTTAACATTTGAATGCAAAATCATGTGCAGCTTTAGTCGGGCAATTAATTTGCAGCGACTCAATTATGTGCATGTTACACATTTGTAACTAGGATTTGTTGGAATTTCATTAGGAATTATTAGCAACACATGATTGCACTTAATAAATGATTCTGTTGGCTCTGAGACTGCCTAAAAAGTCTGTCTTTGTCAGGCTTATTGAATTTAATTAAAGTTTCAAATAGGTATTTCATTAACTGGAACTGCTTGATGCATGTCAACTAGTCTGTGGCTGAAATTAAATGCAACAAATGTCAAGGCAACCATAGTGGCTTAGTTGAATAATACTAATTTGCAGACATTTAATTATATTTGCCCAGTTGTTACAAAGAATTAAGAATTTAGTTTGTAAATTGAATTAAAAGTTTCTCAGAAAAAGCAAAAATGACATTATGAAATGCGTAACAAGTGGCATTTACCTGGGAAAAAAAAATAAACAAGTTGATTCAATTAATTAAAATATAAAATATGGATTATATTGTTTTAAATATAGAAAAACTGGTGAAAAAGTAAACAAAAAATATGCAAAAGGAATATCAAGTATTTATTATATTATTTTATTTACTCAACTAAAATTGTAACTAATTTATCCTCGGTTTAAATATTTATAGAAAATATCCAGTAGTTTGAGAATTAAAAATAATTGCTCCCTGAAACCTATAGTTTTGTAAACCTTAAATATAACGTACAAGAAATTCGTAGAAAATTCTCTTTCAGTTTCGTTTCTGACCCATTTGAATTACCAGGAATGTCCGCAAGCTGTACAAATAAATGTATAGAACTTCAAGTTGAATAGACCTCAACTTCTACTGGGAGTTTATCAAGTGAAAGCCAGACCATTGTGCATGAATAAACCAAGCCAAAGGGTACGGGTATTGCTACTCCAACTAGCCAGAAAATTAAATTTTATTCGAAATATATAGTATAGTTGTCAATTTGTTGCAAAGTGGCGGTTACTCTGACCAATTCCCTTGGGCAAAACATGACAAACCAGTGTAGTTTTTGGTTAAAAGGAGAGTTGGGAACTGGAAATGAGAACAGGAACAAGCGGCTTCAATGGTGTTTGCCAATTAATAGCGAAATTGAGGCAGAATAAAGTTGAACAAGAAGAAAACTTAAGTTTTGGGAGCTTCATTTGTTGTTCTCAGCGAGTGCGGAAGTTGCCAGAATACTAGCGAAGGCTAAAAGCATACAGAAGTCGGGTAAATAGAAAAACTTTGCAACCCGAAGAAATAAGAAGGAAAAAAAATTTTGGGAAAATGCGTGCAGATGAATGCCAGTGGAAAGTCGGTTATGAGCAGTCATCAAGTGCACTGAGAAATATAATTATAAATTAAACAAAATGTATGTAATAAGTAAATTCCTAAAACTTAGCCGTTTTAGGAGAGTTTCTATTCCAAATTTATCAGCATAAGTTGGAGTTTTTCGAGGGTTTTTCTTTCTTATAATCAAAGAGCAATATTTTTATTCACGGTGCACCGACTTGTAGTTATACAAGGACAACTCTATTCCTGTCGAAAGTCAATCTCCTCCCAGGACGACGACGAATGTGAATACGACGACCGCAGCTCGTGTATCTTTGTGTGGTGGGTATGTGGGTCAGCAGTGTTGATTGTGATTGATCTGCGTTTAATGCCATTTTGTTGTTAGACGGAAGCGTAAAAATGGTCAGCTCGGAGCGATGATGTGGCACAAATCTCTGCCAGAGGGTCTCCTGCCACCGAAGTGGAGAAGGGATTTGAATGGACCGGAGTTCGGGGTTGTGGGGTTGTTTGGGAGGGCAGTCAGTCACCCGAGATACACTTGCTCGACATATTTATGAAGTTGTTGACTTGGCCGTGGCCAAACGCTGACACGCTATTCGGTGAACATATGCCAGAGTCTCCGTTTTCACATTTCCCGGACTTGTAAGTTTGAAGCCAGGCTAATCATGTGCTTGTGCCGGGAGTCTGGGGTCTGAAAAATGCGCATAAATATGAGTGCAGAGAGAGAAATGCGGAAAAGGTGGTGGGGAAATACTTGGATTTCTCTAAGAATGGAGAGAAAACTTAGGTAATAGATGGTAATAAGTAAGAAGGTTGTCATTGTCATATTTGAATCTTAACTTTACTTTCACCTGAGGTTTTGAATATAGATCTATTTTATATTGATACTGTTACTTTTAAAGCTTTTAGAACTTGTTAATAAAATTAAAATATTCAGCTCCTAAATACATAGTTAATAATATCTATTAATCACCTTTTCTCTCTGTGCAATTTTGATAGATAAAGTTGTGAAGGTCTTGAGTCTTACGGCAACTCCTCACAGTCTGCTATGTGAATTGAGCTAGAAATCCCTTTCGGCTTCCCATATTCACTTGCATCTCCCAACCCATTGGATTCACGTCAAAAACATTAGGATTGTGAGGAGTAAGGGCGATCTGGGCTCAAGACAGCTAGCCTAGATGTATGCAATGGAAATGGGAGTGGAAGTGGCAGTGGCAGTGGCAGCCATATCACGTATGAGTGCTATTTGCCCAATCCAGACTCCATCCCATTCAAACCACAGATTTGGTACATATTTGCACAGAGATACGTGCGTGTAAAATTGCAAATCGCATTTGTAGCTTTGCTTTATTTCAATTTCCAAAAGGCTGTCATTTTTATGCATTGATTATGTTATTTTCGGTTTTATATTTGCTTTAGCAGTTGCTTATTCCTTTTGATTTTGAAAACATTTTTTATTTTATTATTTTTAACTGGTTTTCTGGCAAAATGAAAAATATCTTTTTCATATTTTAGTTTTCAATAAATAATAAAAAACAAAACAAAATTTTACTAAAATCTAGAAAAAAAAGAACATTTTAAATTTATAAATTGTTACCTTTAAAACATTTATTTACCCATAAAACAAAGTGGATTTAATTTGTCACCATTACACTTCTAAATGTGTCCCTTTTCCCCCATTTTCTCTGTGGATCTGACCTGTTTTTGAAGTAGGCAGTGGAGTTGGTTGTCCTAAGATCCAAAGAAGAAAAAACATACCATCCGTCACGTTCTTATCGAAGGCAAAACTCCCCGTGATATACAATTGAACCCCATGGCTAATCGCTACTTTACGTGTGTCACCGCCATAAAAGAGAGCCCAAGTAGAAAGAAAAAAAAACTGGGAACTTCAGGATTGATTTGGCGACTTTTCAGGGTTACTTTACACTTCACAAATTTTACATGCCATTGGCCAGGCAATTGGGATGGGCCCGGGAAATGGGAAGGGCCCCGGGGATGGCCCCCGACCATAACAGGAAGTTGTCTATTATACGGCCCACGTATCGCCCCAAACAGAAACAGATTGCAATAAAGATACGCAGACAGACAGTCTTCTTCGGCTGTCTATCACATTTTTTTTTTACCATTTTCCATTCCCCCATTTTCCATTTCCCCTCCGCTGAATTTGTTTTTCTATGCTGCTGCATTGCTGGCGGGAAACTTCCGGCCGAAAGTTTAACATCTCGTCTAGAATTTGCCGCTGATTTGTTGCCACTCCAAATGCGCCTAATTGAATCTTTTACTTTCTCTGGCGTTGTTCTCGAACAAGCTTGTCTCTCTACCCCTCGTGTGGATCTAAATAAATGTAGCTAATTTATTTATTCAAGTTAAATCGTTTGAGAAATTGGGTCACAATGCTCAGCCTCGAAGTTTGGCAGGGTCGAGTTGATAGGCGGAATGATTTACATGCCTTTAAACACCAAAAACAGGGACATTTTTACGTTATTTTATTTGCACAAAAATACAAAAATACTTGCTACTTTTTCAGCAAAAAACCCTGTTAATTGCTAATTGCTTCTGCAACAATAGCCAACATTTAAATACAAATTGGGCCATAAAAAGTGTACACCAAATTAGAACACAACTCTAGCAATCAAGGGAATATATTTTAGGTATATTTAAAACCAAAATCCGAATTTAATAATATATTCAAAAAATAATTTGCGCAATTCACAACCAATTTGTTATTTCTGCCATTATTTGTCAACTTAATGTGGCCACGCCTTGACTCATGGGAGATTGCTTCTCAGAGAACGAAAGCAGATTTATTCTGGCAAATAAAAAGCAAAAGACAAGCAGCCAAAAAAATGCCTAAAAAAACGAAATAAAAAAGTAAAAAAAGTTTCAAAAACACAATGAAGACCACCACAAATGGGTGAGTGTGTGCGTGTGTGCCAGCTGTCAATGATTTGTTTCAACAATTTCGCCTGCCGAATGTCTCGTTAAACGCACATAAATATTGTGATTACCTTTAATGTGCTGACTGCCTGTCTAAATAATTCTGTATACACACACACATGGCTATGTCTGGCGGCCTGTCTGCCGCAGGATTTCTCATTCTCCTCCTTAGATTGTTTTTTTCGCCGAGCTCACCACATTTTTAATGATGTGTCGGCACACACACTCCCTCCCCGTTGAAAGGCTTTAACGCAACAATTTACTTTTAATTCAAGTAGCCAGTCAGGCGGCTTAATTATCACAGAGGCGGCACACTGGAGGCCAATATAATCGTCGCTGACATTTTAACGGGCCCCTCCATCCGATTTATTGGCCATGCAATTATGCATAAATCGCTGTCTCTGACATTTCAATAATTTTTAACTGTTATTACTTTGCCATTTATAATACCAGCGTGATCTGAACATGTGCCAGAGTATGTATAATTTATTTTATTTCACACATTTAACCACACTTGAGAGCCACAAGTGCCCTGGGTGTGTTTAAGTGCTGCTATCAGCTCCATTAGTCTTGTTAATCAGATAGCATTAATATGAGCTAAAATGCATGTGAACGTGATATGGTACTTTTGCTCTTTGTTTCGGTT